TGACATCATCAGAAGCAGAGGGTGGATGAGCTTCTCTACTTTGGCATCAATATTTCTGAAGTCTTATTCAGTTCGTCTATTGATTTTTCGTAAAAATGTCGGCTTATTGCTTGGGTTACCAAATCTAACAAATCTTTCATATCTAAATAATTGGCTGCGCGGGTAAGTTCAAAAAGAGTGTCCAAATCAACCTGTAACATTATTCAAAAATATTATAAAAATTTTTCTGGTTTGTTGAGTAGTACACATAATTTTTGTAAACAATTGAGATTTTAAGCTTATTTCGATAATTCAAGTTATTAAATTCAATCATGGTCCACGAGTAACTTTACGGGATAAGCCGGTATAGATGTTGTATTGATGACAGTATTCAGCAAAGCAAACAAAGGTATAATTTTTGCTCATGCGATTTTAAATTTGAATTTTAAGTTAAAATGTTCAACTGAATTCCAATAAAAATAATATTCCAACTTAATATTGCTTAAATACCTCTAGAAATGTTTGATCCCATTCTGTCATTCGAGTTTTTTCATTCTTGCCATATTGGTTTGGCATGGGATCATTTTTATGATGAGTAGCGAATTCAATAACCTTTCCCAGAATATCAGACTTAATATCTGGTAGAGGAAGAACTTCATCCAAGCTATCTTCGCCTAAACTTTCAATCATTGTTTTTACCATATATGAGCGCTTAGCGATTGCTAACTCCACGTCAAAAACGACTCCGTCAGAACTTTGCAAATGCAGGATTGGCACCTGTAATTAAATTAAAAAAGATATTAGTCAAATGGTTTACATTCATTTCATTGATTGTAGCAATAGAGTTAGTAATATTATCCTATTTTTACCACCTATACACTTTGTAAACTGAACAACAATAAAAATTCTTGTAAACAAATCAGAATAAATGATAGATATTTATATTTTGTTTCGAAATAGAACCGATAGTTATTAACTAGTAGTATTTGGTAATAAATGCTATCTAGTTAGACTCATTTCTTCACTACGTATACAATTATTATGAATAAATATACAATAAAAATAAGTTAACTTGATTAAGTTTTCAGAAATTTAAAAAATACGCCTTCGATGCATCGGGTGCCGCCTACCTAAATACAAAGACCAATCACAGCACATTCATTTCGAAAGTACGATCGATCCAATAATTGAGTGAGAGCAAATGTTCAACGGATAAAGCCACGAGGTCGGTACCCTGATTTCGACAGTGAAAAGAAAAAAACACGTGCTCATCACGCGATCAGCTGTCAACATTTGACGGTAATTATTTTTTATAAAATTTTTTTTACATATGAAATTCTGATAAATTAAGAGATAAGCCTATTTTAAAAATAATGAATTCCTGCGTAAAATTCAAGTACAGGTTCTTTTTCAATAACTTCTTCAAAAGTCTCTTTGCTTACTATTGAATGTAACAATCGGAACAGAAACGGTGTGGTAAAGTTATTGTCAATAGTATATTGCTGCTCTAGGCCATGAAAAACAAAATATTCTAAAAGGAATTGTAATTAGTGGCCGAGTCAGTAAAGCACGTGCTCTGGGGCTTGTTTTTTCCGTGGGTTAGACCTTTATTCTATTTTATTTAGAAATAATATTCTACACGCGTTACAACATATACACGCACGTGTTGGGAATTTAAACTAATTGACAAATAATTTAACCTAATTGTCTACGACGTCTGAATTAAAAACTTACCTGGCTAGAGTTTTCTTGATTTGAAGCCATATTTTCAATGAGATATTTTAAGCTGCGTTGTTACTACGTCGAAAGATTCAAGCACTGTGAGACTAACGTTCATATTTCGAATCTTTCATACCCGAAAGCGTAGGCGGTCAAGCCATCTAGCGTTGAATAGTGGGGAGAGGCAAAGAGTCATTTGTACGGCGAGACACACTTTCACATGTTCATTCTCATAAGAAAAAGATCGATTCACAGATTATTTTAATGTTCGTGGACTAGGAGTAAATGCTGCTAAAGCAGCCTTTTTACATCGACAGTTAAAGTTGAAATTATGGCTGTGCGAGTACTCGAAATAACTCGAATCGTCGAGTTCGAGTCGAGTACTCGACTTTTTGAGTACTCGAGTTTTTTCGGGTACTCGAATTTTTTCGAATAATCGAGTTTTTCGAGTACTCCCAATATATTAAAGTTTTTAATAAATAAATGATAAATTAATAGTCTCTAGACCGACTCTCTTTGTGTATACATGCTTATAAATTATAAACTATTCACAAATGTAGAATTTACAATGGTTCTTGTAGTTAAATGTAGCCTATATCTAAATAGCGTTTTTTATGGATATTTAACTCTATGGATATAGATCTGAATGGGGTTGAAATAGTTATTAACAATTTAATTTTATAAATACGGCAATATCTCGTAAAGTATTGAAGATAGATTTAAACAATTTCATATTATTTCATTCTTCTCAAAAAACGAAGAGATTGATGTGTAACCACGTGCTCTCTGGGGCTTTCTTTTTTCGCGGCATAGGCCTGTATACTATTTTTCATACACAGTGGCCCGAAAATCGCTCTTCCCGCTTTGCGCAGTGGCAGTGAAGTAGTCTTTTTCGGGCCGCTGGTATGAAAAAATATAAAGAGCGGATATACAGTATTATTTATGTACAACTTAATTTTCCAACAACTGCACTGAGAAAAAAATTTCATTGAAACAATCACGAAGTGATTGAATCAATGAAATATCATTTCATATTTCATATTTTATAAAATGAATGAAATGAATAAATAAAATTAATAAAATTATGATTACTTCTATGAAATATTTGATTGGCAGACATACCAAGTAAATATTTCACTTAATTGACGAAATGCTTCATTGATAGGATTACTTGATTTATCAAGTTGATGAAACTAGTTTCATTCAAAATTTTGTTACGAAATATTTTATCAAAACAACGAAACATTTCATTGGTATATGCCAAGTAAATATTTCACTAAATTGACGAAATGCTTCATTGTTAGGATTACTTGATTCATCAAGTTGATGAAACTAGTTTCATTCAAAATTTTGTTATGAAATATTTCATTGATTTAATAATCCGTAATAAAAAATGAGCCTAGGGTTTAGCCGCTAGAGGGCATTCGTCAACTATTTTTTCGTTTCCGCAAGTGACGAAATATTTTTTAGATTGGTATATAAGGAGGGTTCATCTTTATATAAGTAAATAAGCGAGCGACCCCTTAGTAAGCGTTAGTGTCGCGTTATCGTTTGCAAGCGTGTAAATGCGTTAGGTTTATAGAATATATGTTAAAATAGTGTGTTAAAATTTGTAAAATAATGTAAGGTAAACCACCCAATTCTGGGACAATGCGAAAATCCGTCGTAAAGTGGGACACCTGCGATTTTAAGTAGTTTCTTCAATGAAAATTTATAAAAACAACGATAAATCATATGAATTATCATTCATTTGAATCTCTATAATGCATATCTCAAACGCTCTTTTTATTTGCACTTACTCAAAAAATATGAAAATTCAATGAGTAACGACGAAGTTGATGGGGAGAAATTTCGGTGCGAAATCTTAGTTCTGGGTGGAAAAGTACCCACTCAATTTTTGTAAATTAAAGATAAAAGTCAAATATAAAGTAGGTAATGTTAAGTTTTATATTCAATATTTTGACTTCCCGGAACACGACTGTACTGTTATTTTTACAAATAATAGTATATTTTTTTTATAACAACATGTCCTGATTTACGTGCAGTTATTTCGCAATACGTCCTATAGTAGGACACATTAAGTAACATATTTGCTATACGCCCCGCGGTGCAGTTCGCTTTGTCGCTTAGGGTAGCATATAATATCTGCATCCATTAGAAGTAAGTGTATATTCGTAACTATTATAAAAAAGTGTGTCTTTTTAGACAATTATACTTATTATATTATTCAATTAAAAGCAGGGTAAATATGAGCCAATTTTGCGCAGACTTGTACGTCTTTGGTGATCGAGTATCCTAACCTTGAAAAGTACCAGCCACTGAAGGTATGTTTACATTCTGTTTTCAATTTATTAAGAAAAATTGAAAGCAGTACAGAGTAAAATAAAAATAAAAAAAGAAACGATTTAATGTTATTTAAAATGATTTATTATCAGTTTGTATTTATTAACATAATTTTTGTTGAAATTTCGGAATCAGATTAATAACAATAAAAAACATATTTATTCTTATGTATTTATTATGTCCCACTTTTGGTCTGACGCGTGTCCCACTATACAGTGGCGCTGTTCGAGGTGTCCTACTATTGGTGATTTTTACTACTCAAGAAAATGTCTTATTTTTTAATAATTTTACAATCTAGAATTTTTTCAACTGATATATTACATTTTTAATTGGGCGTCAAAAGCTATTTAATATAAAGAGTCCATGATAGTTATGAGGCTAAATTTAAATCATTAATAATACTTATTTTTATACTCGCTATCAATTTATTTATTATCTGTTGAAATTCCTGTAATGATTTCATGTGGAATCAGAAAAACGCAAATGGTTATTTTTTGATTTTAATTATAATAATAAATATATTATTTGCTTATAGGGGCTACATTAGATAATGGTTACCAATTAAAAAAATAAAATCGTTATCATACATTGCAATAAGAAAACTTGAATGAGTTTTTTGGTGGAAAATTATGTTAAATAAAATAATTTCATTCAGTTCAAACTTTTATTGAGATAAAAATACATAAAAGTTACATGTGCATGTCAAAAAAAACTATGCAAAACATTGTATACAAACAGCACAGTGCATTTCACATACACAATAAAACACTCGAGATAATAAAATTAAAAGTATTAGTGCCTATCACGCACGCACAAACTCGAACTGTTAAACAAACCATGAGAAAATTGATTTACGTCACGCTTGGAAGTGGCATTGAAAATATTTTGAAAATCCATACATCTATACATTCGATTCGTATACGTTCAGTAAATAATTATTCATGTGTGTAGTATAGCATAGTAATGTAGTAGTGTATAATTAGTCACTATACACAGCTCGAGTCACTTTCATCTCTTATGTAACTTCAATCGCGTAGTTCTCACTCTCTTTCAATCGTTTTATATAGTGTGCAGGCATATAGTCAATACAGGTTACGACGTTGCCATGTGAACAGTACAAAAATTAAGTCCAATGTCTAAAGTCTCATTGACCGTAGCAAGTGATTAAAAGTGAAAATTTATTTATTATCAGCGACTGAGTGAGTGTGAAAAACGATGGCCTCGTTCGAAGATAAATCCGACATATGTTCCAGTGGTGTTGGCGAAAGCCAGATCGAACCCAAAATACGTTTGGAACAATTAAATTATTTACGACAAAGTGTCAATTGGAAGTTCGCAGCTAATCGACTAAAATATTACGATAATTTTTATAACATAGTCTCTAATTGGAAAGGCCCGCATCCAAATCTTCAAGAGATTATCAAGCCCAAAAACATCGACAAACTTCTCTCGGATCTCATAAAGAACAAAAAGATAGACGCATCGAAAATAAAACGAATTATCGAGTTCGTGGCACGCTGCGGCTACAAAGACGAGCCCAAAGTCGATAAAGACGGCAAGCCTGCGTTGCGTCGCACTACAGCAGTGCATCACGCGGCCGTATCGAAGCACCTCAAGGTATCCGAGCGTAAGGCTATACTGCGCGAGCTTTTTGAAATTTACAACCGATTCGACGCGAATTACACCGACGTCAAGTCCGAGGTTACCCATTTCCATATAGCGTGCAAATTCGGATGCAACAAAGTCATCAAGCGATTTTTAGAACTCGGCCAGGATCCCGATCTCGTCGCGAAAAATCAATCGGTCGATCCGCCGCTGCTCCTAGCTACAAAACGCGCCAAAGCCACGGTAATCAAGTTGCTGCTCAAACACGGAGCCAATCCGAACTTGACCGACAAATACGGATCGACTCCTTTGCACATTATTAGTTGGAAATACGGCGATGCTGACTTGGCGAAGACGTTCTTCGATATCAACGACGACGTCGAACGGACGTTGGATATAAATGCCCGAGACAAGTTCGGTAACACACCGTTGCAGGTGGCTCTGGCCAATGACCACTGGAAGTTGGCCGAATCGTTGTTGAGCAGAGGCGGCGACCTAAACCTAAATTTTTGCGACGAGATGGGACGGACACCTTTGCACAATATTTGCATGAGAAACGATCGCTTGGCGAAGTGGCTACTCGGGCTGAGCGGCGATTTACGCCAGCCGGTGCAAGTCAATATCAATGCTCAGGACAAGACGGGCAACACACCGTTGCATTATGCTCTGGAAAACAATTTGAGTGACACAGCCGAATGGCTGCTGAGTAAAGGCGCCGATGTCAACTTGGCCAACGAGGAGGGATCGACTCCCCTGCATAATGTTTGCAAAGGAGAAAGAGTTTCTTTCTTGAAGTCGTTCTTAAAGAACGCCGAGGAAGTCAATCAGTCGGTGCGGCTCGATGCCCGAGACAAGTTGGGCAACGCGCCACTGCACTTGGCTCTGCGATTTAACAAGGACCCGGAGGTGCCTGAATTGTTGCTGAAAAAAGGCGCCGATGCCAATTTGGCCAACGAGGAGGGATCGACTCCTCTGCATATTATCTGCAAAAGAGAAAGAGTTTCTTTCTTGAAGTCGTTCTTAAAAAACGCCGAGGAAGTCAATCAGTCGGTGCGGCTCGATGCCCGAGACAAGTTCGGCAACGCGCCACTGCACTTGGCTCTGCAATTCAACGCCGACCCGGAGGTGCCTGAATTCCTGCTGAAAAAAGGAGCCGATGTCAACTTGGCCAACGAGGAAGGATCGACTCCTCTGCACATTATCTGCGAAAAAGAAAGCGTTTCTCGCTTGAAGTTATTCTTAAAAAACGCCGAGGAAGTCAATCAGTCGGTGCAGATCGATGCTTGGAACAATGAGGGCAACACACCACTACATTTGGCTATAAAATGCAACACCGACAAGAAAGTGTCCGAATTGTTGCTTCAAACAGGCGCCGATCCCAATTCGGCCAACGAGAAGGGATTGACTCCTTTGCACATTATTTGCAAATGGAAAGGAGCTAACTTATTGACGATGTTCTTCAATATCAACAAAAAACTCGATCGGACGGTGCAGGTCGATGCACAGGACAACGAGGGTAACACGCCACTACACTCGGTTACTTTATCCGGAAACGAGAAGAAAATCGAATTCTTGCTGAGAAAGGGCGCCAATCCTAATTTGGCCAATGAGGACGGAACGACTCCTCTGCATATTATTTGCAACAGACGCGTATTCGATGACGACTTGGCGGGGCTGTTCTTCGAGGTCAACGACAAATTGAATCAGCCGGTGCGAGTCGACGTCAAAGATAAGAAGGGCCTGACACCGCTGCAACGGGCTGTGATGAATTTTCGAACGGATACCGTCGATCTTCTCCTGGATCGTGGAGCTGATCTGGCTAGCTTCGTTTTTCCCGCCGAGAGTCACTTCGAAGAGATTTATGACACGTTGGAGGGTTCATTGAGCTATGATGGAATGATATTGTTAGCATCTGGGGCTCTGGCCACCGTCGAACGTCTCGAGAGAGGAGGGTATGAATTGGATCGATGCGACGCCCTGACCATCATGAGAGCGTTCGCCGAATGCAGATTGTTCGAAAAATCGTCGGATCTCGAAAAACATTGGTACGACGACGAAGAGTTCGCAGAACGAGCGAAGAAGAAGATGGTGAAACCGAATCTGTCTTTGTACGATCTGGTCCGGTTGCAACCCAAACAGGCGGCGAAATTACTCACGTATCAAGATTACACGGAATTGGCGTCGGGGAAATTGCGTTTTTGTCGCGTTGAGACTTGCGCTGTGCGTCTGTGCGAGATAATATCGAGAGGATTTTTTCGCGACTGGGCGCTGGATTCTTTCATGCAGTTGATACAATATCGGCTGCCGGTTGAGATCTGTGAAATTATCGTCGACCAGCTCGCGAACCAAGATTTACATAACATTTGCTTGGCGGCTAGCATCGAACTCCAAAAGGACAACGAAAAAAATACAACAACAACTGTATCGAAATGTGCCGAAAAAAGGCTGAAAATTGCATAGTGAAAATTAAGAAGGTTTTTATTTATCCTCGCACGAAACTAATAAAAGAAGCGAGGGAGACAGATGCTTTATTTTTTTATGATTTTAATTATTCGTGTTTTAATTTTATTTCAGAAATATATCTATAAAAAAAACATAAAAAAGTTTCACATGTTGAATTTGTTCCTTGAATCCTTTAGCTTTCCCATTCTTATATTTTTTTATCGTATGTTAAATAACCATTTGAGTTAATATTCAAAGCTTCCTTGAAAAAATTTAAAATTAATTACAATAAAGCTCAGTCAAAACCAAATCATTCAGAATCTCCGGCTTCCTTTTCCAGTCAACTTTGCCATCGGATCGGAGAACAGACTGCAAAATATCGACACGATGTGCAAGAAAAAATAAACGAATACACCGAGTCAATATGATCCAGCCCAAATGCTTTATTCTCTACTACACGGAAAAACTGGCGCCGAGCTGTGAGCCGTGCTCGCTAAGAGCATGAGTTTTAGGTTCATGTTCAAGAAAAAGCCGTGCATGAGCAGCAGCGTCCTAACGCGGCGGTCGCACGGCACTTTTTGACAAAATTGTTTAATTTCTAACTCGTTTGAAAACCTCCTAAACCTACTTAAAAAAAATATGTGACCTACGATTTCGATTGGAAATTTCCTCAGCTTTCTGATGGTGCGCTCAGAAAATTAAAAAAATAAACTTTTAACATTAAATAAAGTAAAAAGCGTAATTTTAAGATTTTTTATAATAGTCTAGATCGAAAGCTGAGAGAATTTCCGTCTGAATTCTCATTTTCCAGATGGTTCATTTTATTTTTACTAGCTGAACTACATCGATGAATGTGTAAAAACGCGTTTTTACACGTTTATCGCTGTGGTTTAATAAGTAATAATTATTTTCACACTATGAAGACTTGCATATCGATGGGAAATTTCCTCAGCTTTCGTTCTAGACTATTTTGAAAAATCTTAAAATTACACTTTTTAATATATTTAATGTTAAAAGTTAATTTTTTTAATTTTCCGGAGAAAAATAGTTTTTTCCGAAAATTTGAGCACACCATCAAAAAGCTGAGAAAATTTTCCATCGATATAGCATATCACATATTTCTTGTAAGTACGTTTAGGAGGTTTTCCAGCGAGTTAGAAAATGAGTAATTTCGACGATAAGTGCCGTGCTATGCGACCGACGCGCGATGAGCGCTGCGCTGCTCATGCCCGGCTTTTTCCTGTGCATGCACGGCTATTTCATGAGCACGCACGGCTACATGAGGTGCATGAATATTTTGTACGGCTCACAGCCGAGCGCCAGTTTTTCCGTGTACTATCATGAATATCTTGTATATTTTAACATGTAGCAATATCCACAGGGAGTTGCAGTTTCTTGAAAATCATATTCCAATTCAAGGTAAACGTTAAACTCCAGTAAAATGTAAAGAGAACAACTGATCATTAGCGAACGTTTTACATCGCCTATCGTGATCCTGCATAAGCGCATCATGGATAATCAAAGCGGGTCCATGTCCGAAAAATGAGACTTTAGTAAGGTATACGCCCCTATTTTCGATCAGTTAGGTTCTAATTTCGATCAAATTTAAATCGATTTTTTATATAGGACTGAAACTTGATATCTGATTTTGAATAATGTATTCATTTGCCAATTATTAAAAAAATTTTTCTTACGTACTATTAAGTTTTTAATATTATATAATTACTTATCGAATATAGGGACATGATCGAAAATAGAGGCATATACCTTACGCGAGGTGCGAGTTGGAAATAAAATTTTAATAGACTGAACGCGAGTTGGCTTTCTTCGTTAAGTTTGATGCGATACTGTAGCCTATCGCACACGCACAAACTCGAACTTTTGAAGAAACGATGAGAAAATTGATTTACGTGACGCTTGAAAGTGGAATTGAAAATATTTTGAAAATCCATGCATCTGTACATTTAATGCGTATACATTCTGCAAATAATTATTTGTGTGTGATTTGATTGCTCAGCAGTTGTTAGAAAATTAAGTTGTACATGAATAATACTGTATATCCGCTCTTTATATTTTTTCATACCAGCGACCCGAAAAAGACTACTTCACTGCCACTGCGCAAAGCGGGAAGAGCAATTTTCGGACCACTGTGTATGAAAAATAGTATACAGGCCTATGCCGCGAAAAAAGAAAGCCCCAGAGCACGTAGTTACACTTCAATCTCTTCGTTTTTTGAGAAGAATGAAATAATATGAAATTGTTTAAATCTATCTTCAATACTTTACGAGATATTGCCGTATATATAAAATTAAATTGTTAATAACTATTTCAACCCCATTCAGATCTATATCCATAGAGTTAAATATCCATAAAAAACGCTATTTAGATATAGGCTACATTTAACCATTGTAAATTCTACATTTGTGAATAATTTATAATTTATAAGCATGTACACACAAAGAGAGTCGGTCTAGAGACTATTAATTTATCATTTATTTATTAAAAACTTTAATATATTGCGAGTACTCAAAAAACTCGATTATTCGAAAAAATTCGAGTACCCGAAAAAACTCGAGTACTCAAAAAATCGAGTACTCGACTCGAACTCGACGATTCGAGTTATTTCGAGTACTCGCACAGCCATAATTTCAACTTTAACTGTCGATGTAAAAAGGCTGCTTTAGCAGCATTTACGCCTAGTCCACGACCATTAAAATAATCTGTGAATCGATCTTTTTCTTATGAGAATGAACATGTGAAAGTGTGTCTCGCCGTACAAATGACTCTTTGCCTCTCCCCACTATTCGACACCAGATGGCTTGACCGCCTACACTTTAGGATATAAAAGATTCGGAATATGAACGTTAGTCTCACAGTGCTTGAATCTTTCGACGTAGTAACAACGCAGCTTAAAATATCTCATTGAAAATATGGCTTCAAATCAAGAAAACTCTAGCAAGGTAAGTTTTTAATTCAGACGTCGTAGACAATTAGGTTAAATTATTTGTCAATTAGTTTAAATTCCCAACACGTGCGTGTATATGTTGTAACGCGTGTAGAATATTATTTCAAAATAAAATAGAATAAAGGTCTAACCCACGGAAAAAACAAGCCCCAGAGCACGTGCTTTACTGACTCGGCCACTAATTACAAGTCCTTTTAGAATATTTTGTTTTTCATGGCCTAGAGCAGCAGTATACTATTGCCAATAACTTTACCACATCGTTTCTGTTCCGATTGTTACATTCAATAGTAAGCAAAGAGACTTTTGAAGAAGTTATTGAAAAAGAACCTGTACTTGAATTTTACGCAGGAATTCATTATTTTTGAAATAGGCTTATCTCTTAATTTATCAGAATTTCATATGTAAAAAAAATTTTATAAAAAATAATTACCGTCAAATGTTGACAGCTGATCGCGTGATGAGCACGTGTTTTTTTCTTTTCACTGTCGAAATCAGGGTACCGACCTCGTGGCTTTATCCGTTGAACATCTGCTTTCACTGAAGTATTGGATCGATCGTACTTTCGAAATGAATATGCTGTGAATGATCTATGTATTTGGGTAGACGGTGTCCGATGCATCGAAGGCGTATTTTTAAATTTCTGAAAACTTGATCGAGTTAACTTTTTTTTATTGTATATTTATTCATACTTATTGTATACGTATAGTATAGAAATGAGTCTAACTAGATATCATTTATTATCAAATACTACCACTTAATAACTATTAGTTCTATTTCGAAATAAAATTTAAATATCTATCATTTATTTTGATTTTTTTACAAGAACTTTTATAGTTGTTCAGTTTACAAAGTGTATACGTAGTAAAAATAGAATAATATTACTAACTCTATTGCTACAATCAATGAAATAAATGTAAACCATTTGACCAATATCTTTTTCAATTTTATTACAGGTGCCAATCATGCATTTGCAAAGTTCTGACGGAGTCGTTTTTGACGTGGAGTTACCAATCGCTAAGCGCTCATATATGGTAAAAACAATGGTTGAAAGTTTAGGCGAAGAAGAATTGGATGAAGTTCTTACTCTAAAAAATATTAAGTCTGATACTCTGGAAAAGGTTATTGAATTCGCTACTCATCATAAAAATGATCCCATGCCAAAAGGAGATGGCACGGATGAAAAAACTCAAATGACAGAATGGGATCAAACATTTCTAGAGGTATTTAAGCAATATTAAGTTTGAATATTCTTTTTGTTGGAATTTAGTTGAACATTTAAACTCAAAATTCGAATTTAAAATCACACGAGCATAAATTATATCTTTGTTTGCTTTGCTGAATACTGTCATCAATACAATATATATACCTGTTTATCCCGTAAAGTTACTCGTGGACCATGATTGAATTTAATAACTTGAATTATCGAAATAAGCTTAAAATCTCAATTGTTTACAAAAATTATATGTACTACTTAACAAATCAGAAAAATTTTTATAATATTTTTGAATAATGTTACAGGTTCATTTGGACCCTCTTTTTGAACTTACTTTAGCAGCCAATTATTTAGATATGAAAGAATTGTTAGATTTGGTAACCCAAATGATAGCCAAAGGAGATTTTATAGATACATCAGTAGACGGACTGCAGAAGACTTCAGAAATATTGATGCCAAAGTAGAGAAGCTCATCCACCCTCTGCTTCTGATGATGTCAATGCCTTTTTTCAAAATTAGACGAAATAGTTTTAATTAAATAAGAGACCTAGTTATAAATACTTATTGTTCGTGATAAAAATTACTAAAAAAGCAGATATTCAACTATTAAAATATAAAAACTTAATTAACACTAGCTATTTAACCTTACTAGCTACGCTTGCTCTGTATTTGAGATTTTTTTTGAAAAATGTCTCATTTCGATTTAAAAGAAAAAAACCGCTTCCTATTCATTGACAAAGAGCTTCCTCGTAAAAAATTATCGTTCCTATTTTATTTATGAAATGCTAATGAAGCAAGTAATCAAACTAGAATCCAGCACAAAAAAAATTAATCCGTTTCGGGCCAGTTAGACGAAATTTCCCACATTTTTTCCGATGCTATAAGCTCTGTGAAAAAAATATCTGAAAAATGTTAAAATAGTCATTATTGATGTGGAATTTTATGAACTTTTCGAATCCGATGTCAGAATTGTAAAAAATGTTAAGGAACAAAAGTTATAAACATTTAAACATCAAAACACGCGATTTTTTTGAAAAAAATTTTGATTCAACCTAAATTTTTGAATCAAAAGAGACTTGATCCGTGTGTCTGACACATATTTTTTGCGTCCATGGAGTGTAGACATAAAAGTCCAATTGTTACAATATCGAAAATTCAACATGGTGGACAACAAAATGGCGCCTCGTAAAAAAAACCATGTATAAACTTGGTCAATTTTTTTATCTGCTAACCAAGCATCTAGGAAAAAAACTTTACTTAGAAAAACTCCTTATAATTGTTCAAAAAAGACCCCTGAATTATTTCAGAATTTTCCGGGGAAATTTTTGTATTTTTGAAAATGGTCAGAAATCAAAAATACCAAAAATGATCCATAAAAATCTTAAAAAATTCAGACATATTCTATAAAATATTCTAAGACTTTTATAACGTACAACTCTTTTTCGTCAAGTTCTTCATTACAAGTAGAAAAATTAAATTATAATTATTCTAAGAACATAATTAGTTTTCATAACTCGAAAATGAAGAACTCGACGCTAAGACAGCTGCTAGCGTGCTCGATATGTACAGAAGAAAACGAACGCGTTTTTCTCGAAACTACTTTTTTCAGTTCTTACCGATGATTGAGAAAAAACTACAAGTCCAATCCTTATGTATATACCATAATTAGTACCATGAGATGAATAATCATTATTATTATAATTTTCTCATGGTACTCTCAGACCTTATTTTGGGTAGCTACACACAGCACTTATGCCTCTTTCAAAATAAGTTTATTTCATCGTTTTCGACCTCTCAGAGAAATGGCATAAGTTTAGAAATGGTTATCCCAAAAACGACTTTTGAGAAATTCTCACCTTTTCAGCGCATTAAATTGGGTAGCTACTACCTGCACTTATGCCAATATTTTTTATCAACTATTCTAGTCAATAAATTTCATACTGCTCAAAGGCATAAGTTAAAAAATTAATATCCTCGAATTATTTTTTTTACATATCGAGCCTAGACCTGTAGATTTAAGGCTACGATGTGCACTTATGCCTGGTTCAAAATAAGCTGGGCTAGTACTTTACAACCAATCTATGAAAGAGGCATAAGTTAAAAAATAAATATCCAAGGCCTTTATTTATTGCAAACGCGCATGCGCCAAGATATTTTTATCTACATGGGATCACGCTAAAATTTTAGATTTAGTCTTGTCTTTGGACATACTTTGAGTACTCCAAGAGGTATGAGTTAAAAAATCGTTATGCTCGATGGGTCATTATCTCCCGGTCTATCTGTAGCTGGCGCGGCAGCCAATCACAGCGCGTAGCGCAAACCGACGCTGTATAGGCAGTTCTACTACCAAAGTTGTGCTCGCTCGGACGGACGGACGGACGGACGCTCGGTTTTTACGGGTTTACCCCGGACACCAAACGCGAATATAGATGTTTCACATCAAAAAATGATATACGTATTGCATACATTATTTGTACAATTGTAATATTTGTATAACTTGACAGATTTTGATTTCGAATTTTTTCAAGACAAACGTGTAATTTTTTGCGTAAAACCAGAAAATTAGACAGACAACATAACTTATAATTTTGCCTTGAATAAAAACGCGAGTAAAGTCGATTAGAGTTCTCATCATTACATTGAGCGCAAAAACGCATTTTGGACACTTGTTGTATAAATAACTATAATTCTACAGTTTGAATTCATCAATTACCTGAAAATAACATTATTATTGTTTCAACAAATAAGATTAGTTTTAGATCACTTTATATACGATTGAGACTCAACCAATAGATGGCGAGTACCATTAACTGTAAATCTGCAAGTGGCAAAAGGTAACGTATTTAAATACATCTTGACGACGATATTCGTGTAAAAGTTTACTTGGAAGCGGCAATTAGTCGAATCCGCCACTGCAAGTTGGAACTGGTTCAAATATTCTAAGGAAAATGTATAAATAGATAAATGGGTACCTTGTAAACAAAATCATTATAAACGATTTTGACATCGTCCCTCAACACACTTATCGTGTTTACGGTAAGAACAAATTAGTTTGAATGTTATATTTTTCGATGAAACAAGCCTTAGTATCAACAGATAAATCTTACTCGTTCAAATTCTAACATGGACAACAGTGAAAAGAAATTCGAAAAAATTGACTCGGAAACTAATTCAAGTGAACAAGACATTGTTGTTTCCAACAACAAAAAATACTTTTGTAATATTTGCCAGGAGGCCTTTACACTAGAATCGAGCATGATAACTCACAAAAATACAATTCATAATGAGCAAAAAAAGTATACATGCTACGAGTGCGAAAAACAATTCGAGTTCCGAAGTCATTTGAGTAGACACAAAATATCAGTGCACAAAAGTCGCAAAGATCTCGCATATGACAGGTGCGAGAAAAAATTGGTAAAAAAATCTAGTTTATTTACTCACCGAAAATTGGTACACAAAGATCGTGAAAATTTCATGTGCAATAAGTGCGAGAGAAAATTTGAAAATAAAACAACTTTACTCAAGCACAACAAAATATTCCACGAAGTCTTTAAAGATTACCTATGTGAAAAGTGCGCGAAAAGATTTGGAAATAAACAGAATTTGCTCCTACACATAAAGACAGTTCATGAGCGATGCAAATATTTCGCCTGCGACAAGTCCGAAAATAAATCTGAAAAAAAATCGCATTTGCTCTTCCATCAAAGGATAGTGTACGGAGGTCAGAGAGATTTCCCATGTGACAAGTGTGAGAGGGTATTTAATAATCAAAACAATTTGAAAATACATCAAAGAATAGTCCATAATGGTTGTAAAGATTACTCATGTGACAATTGTGAGAAGAAATTCGGACTAAAAGCGAATTTGATTAGACACCAAAAAACATTCCACCTAGATCAAAAAGATTTTTCATGTGACAAGTGCGAAAAAAAATTCGGACTTAAACATCAGTTGCTTTTGCATCAAAGAACAGTCCATGAAGGTCACAAAGATTTTGAATGCGACAAATGCGAGCAGAAATTTACACAAAAACCGAGTTTGCTCTTACACCAAATGACAGTCCACGAAGGTCGCAAAAATTACATATGTGACAAATGCGAGAAGACATTTGGACGAAAAGGAAATTTGCTCAGACACCAAAAGACAGTTCACGATGATCGCAAAGATTTCTCATGCGACAAGTGCGAGATGAAATTTGGAATAAAATCGCATTTTCTCTTTCACCAAAGGACAGTCCACAAAGGTCAGAAAGATTTTGCATGTGACAAGTGCGAAAAGAAATTTGGAGAAAAATGGATTATGATTCAGCACCAAAAAACAGTCCACGAAGGTCGTAAAGATTTTGCATGCAACAAATGCGAGCAGAAATTTGGACAAAAAACGACTCTGCTTAAGCACCAAAAAACAGTTCACGATGGTCGCAAAGATTTCGCATGCGACAAGTGCGACTGGAAATTTGGAGAAAAATGGGTATTGATCAGACATCAAAAGACAATACACGAGGGCCGCAAAGATTATGTATGCGACAAGTGCGGGAAAAAATTTGGAGAAAAATGGATTATGATTCAGCATCAAAAGACAATACACGAAGGTCGCAAAGATTTCGCATGCGATAAGTGCGAGCAGAAATTTTCACAAAAACCGAGTTTGTTCTTACACCAGAGGATAGTCCACGAAGGTCGCAAAGATTACGCATGCGACAAGTGCGACTGGAAATTTGGACGAAAATCAGATTTGTTGAAACATCAAAACACGGTTCATGAGGGTCGCAAAGATTACGGATGCGACAAGTGTGAGAAGAAATTTGGGGTTCGGAGTAATTTGATAAAACACAAAAAAACAGTACACTAAGGTCGTAAAAAATTCGAACGTTAATTAACCCAATTGAAAGAAATTGCGAGGATTTCTACGTGGATCATCCACGCAGATCTCGTGTGAATTCTACGCGAAAAGTGCATGGAATCCATGTGGAAAGTGCATAAATTCCATGTAGAATCAGCGTGGATTATTTTTGTAAAAATATTTAAAACGTACGTCTGCGCTACATTTCTAATTATTTTTTATTCTGTGTAATGACGATCATTCAAGTCTCAGGGCCTCATTTACGATGTTCCAATGGCCAGTGGTTCATCCCTCGTGGACTTCACTCACACGATTCGATGACAACCTGAAAATGACGCGCAGCTACCCGCGCAAAAAGAAAATCAATTGTACAAGTGAATGTATTGAAATTTGAAATAACATCAAAACCAATTCGCACTGAATAAATTTTATTACTTTTTCTCTCAATACCATGATGAACAAATGATATATATTTATAATATATGTAGATACTTTTCAAACAGTCAATATAGCTTTTATTTATATCTTAAATGAAGTTTAACAAATGCCATTTAATAATAGATTACATTTGATTAATCGGCAACGGGCGCATTGCGACATGTCTCTCGTTCATTTGGAATATTTATACATATAGACGTTGCCCACAAGTAATTTCGCGCGCGAATGAAGAAAAAACTATAATCGGTTCTATTTCATGGAAATTCTTTCGAAAAAGTTATACGAGTATAAAAATATATGTTTATTATAGCTATCGCGTAATTCTAAATGAAGTAACTAAAATCACATCGGTCGGAAATTCGTCTGTAACGATGTCGTATATATCATTAATGCAATTATTGTGTCAAATTCGATGTTACACGCTGAAAGAGATCGGACAAAATTTTTGCGGTCGCTGTAAAAAAGTACAATCAAGAGTTTTAACGCTTCGAGTGATTCCTCGTTAAGTAACGATAACGCAATTGCAATGTGTATAATGAAGTACAATTCAATCATTAAATCGCTTCGTAAGCCGCGTCGAGGCCCGAACTCGGCCCGTTCAAGAACTCCTCCAGCTCGTCGCGCTGTCTCTCCTCTCGTTTCGACGACTTCTTCTTCTTCCTCTCGGATTTGTCGGATTTGTCCTTGTCCTTTGACTTTTTCTTCTTCTTCTTCTCCTTGTCCTCAGTCTAAAAAAAACAAAAAATCAAAGCGCCATGAGAAACACGCTCGAAGATGAAATGCATCATCCGAACTCTCACCTTGTCCCTGTGCTTCTTCTTCTCCTTCATCACCGGACTGCTACTGTTCGAGCTGGGCTGCCTCGCGCTGCCGTTGTCCAGCAGATCCAGATGTACGTTCGAGCTGGTCACGCTGGCGTCGAGGCTCTTGTCGCTCAGCTCGTGATGATGATGATGCAGCCTGTCCTTCTTGGCGCTGACGCTGACGCTGCTGCTGACGTCCTCGCCGCCCTCGGGGCTCTGTCGCCACTTGCAGGAGTCGCCGCGCTGGCCCAGCCAGCTGTCGAACGTCGCGGTGGCGTCGTCGGAGTTCGCGGCGTCCTGCTGAAGCTGCAGCTTGCTCGACAGCCGGAGCTCTTGCTCGATCGACGAGCTGGAGCCGCGGCGCTTGACGATCGACGACGGTGGCGGCGACGAGTCGATGGTGAAGGCCGCCACTGAGTTGGCCATGTCGCCGCCACCGCCGCTTCGTTTGTGCCTCTGCTTGCTGAGCGGATTCTCGGATAGGGTCGTCAGTACCGGGACTGGGGACGGCATCTCGTCGGCCGAGGACAGATCGTCCTCGATACCGGCCACCAGAGGATTTCCCGTTTCCGTGTCGCTGCAAATTTACAAATACAAAATCAGTAAGGGATATTATTTCGAGGATTATTTTCAAAGTAACCGGTCGACAAACCTATCGGAGTCGAGCTGTTTCTTCTGGCTCGCCTGTGAATTCGAATGACTATTATCTTCTAAAAACGATTTGTCGATGTATCCGTCGTCGGGCACGAAGTCTTCCACGCTGGCGATCGGCACGCCGAAAACCGTCTTCGTTTCCTCGCCCGACGCCGTCGTCGTCGTCTTGTCCTTGTCGAGGCTCATCTGCTTTCGAATGGACGATACTTTGGATGGACTGACGCTGTTGACGGTCGATTTGGAATTCATGTGCTCGGGAACGCTGGCACTGCTCGAGAGCGCGGATGGTTCGCTCCTGCTTCCACCGTTCGCTTGAGACAGCGTGGACGCGTCTTTTTTCACCAATAGCTTGATATCCGCAGTCTTGACTGGAATCGGAGTGCCACCTCCGATCGGTCCCAGTACTTTTGCGACGGGTACGTTTGCGTGATTGATGTTGCCGTGAGGGCTGAGAGAAGACTGCACATTGGGAATTAATGTGGCAGAAACCGAATCGGCTGCTGCTCTTCGTTTGTTGACCAAATTGTCTAAAAATTTATTATAATCTGCATCTTCGCTATCTTGGAAAAGATCCAACTCCTGTACAGTTAAATTTGTTTCCTCTTTGTTGGTTTCTAATTGCTGTAAAAGAGTCTCTTTTTGTAATTGAAGGAATGGAAGATTGAAAAATTTGTGCAAAAGTTTCAAACCAAATCCATTTCTCATGGAAGATTCTGCGTAGCGAATCTGTGCAGTCCTCTCTCCCAATGATTCAATGAAGTAAGTAACGTGATCACTTGTAACTGTTCTGTGATGTGACATATCACAGTGATTACCTAAAACAATAACAGGTATGTGGCTGGGCACCTTTGGCAGTTCTCGTTGAACATAATCAAAAGTCCAGTGTTTAGTTATATCCATCATAATTATTACACCATTGGTTCCCTTATAGACATCTAAAAACTCTGCATCCAGTGCAGGCTCCTCAATAACACTCTCAGCCGATGCAATATTGTCCATTTTCAAACCATCCATTTTCTTTCTTCTTGTGCCTCTATCGACGACATCCCAAACTTCAACTTTAACAACATCATCTGTCGCCTTGTAGTTCCACTGTATACTGGCAACTTGAATTTCATCTGTGGGTACATATTCTTCGACAAACTTTTGCCCTTGCAATCTATGGAACAAACATGTTTTTCCAACATTTCTATCCCCTTTAATTATTATTTTCACTGGAAATAAGAAAAAGGATTGATTTCATTATTTGCAAAATATGTCAAGCAATAAAAATAAAGCCGTTCTTACTATTATACTGGACGCCTTTTGCAAATTTCCTCTGCAAATTCGTAGGCATGGATTGATGAGCTGGTCTAGGGGACGATGAGGACACCCCCTCGGATTTTCCAGCCAATCTCTTGAACGCCGAAAACATGATTGAATCTTGTCCGTAACTTCAATCGATTAATTCGAACTACTACGACTTCTCAAAGTACGAAACGAATGTAATAATAATCGTACTTTACAACAGATTATCAGGACGTTAAATAATAACCAGATTAAACTAGAAAATTTCAAATGAACACAAACAGTTTTCTCGAGGATAACAATATTGCACTTGTCAACATTATTGACGCTAACAGGCGATTCTTTTTTTCCTCGATCTCGTAGTCAAATCAACTTAGCTATTAGCGCAGGTACACAAACTATTGATAGGTATCGAAACTCATCAATAACACCATCACAACAGTCATTATTTTGATAAAATTTGGCCTTAGCTGACAGATGCCACTGCCCCGCACCAGCTGGCATGGCCTTTTAATATTATACGCTTGTCAGACTGGGGGATAACCTCTCGCGCATGCATACAGCAAGTAGTGTGTGTATACAGTGAACTTTCCTTTATCGGCGCTAGGATTGAAATTATTTGCAGGCGTTTATTGGCGATTGCGTAAGACGCGAATATTCGAAAAGTTTCATTTTTTCAAAATTAGCCGGCAAATAGATTTTAAAATTTTTAGTTAAAATCAAGAAACTAGTTTGCAAAATCGTTTAATAAGGATCATTTGTAAAATGAATTTTTATGAATAAGTAACTGGGATATTGTTATGCATTATTAATTACAACATCTTAGCTATTGAAATACTTGTGCAATGCATGTTGAAATATCATGCCCGTTTGAACTAATGCATGTTAGACTTCATACAAAAAAACCTATAAATTACATTAATAATATCTCATTAAGAATTTTAAATAAAAATAATTTTTTATTTTCTGTACAATATGTATAATGGTAAGGCATAATTGTTATTTTCCTTTGCTGACTTCTGAAATAGCTTGAAACAGCAAAGGTTTTAAATTCTCCCTTACGACAATGTGTTTTTCTCCATGGGTTATTTTTAAAATTTCATCTGCTTTTTTCAAGGTTTCCAGTGCAGATTCATCTTTACATAAATGCAATTGAATTTTACCCAATAACAAAAACAACGTTCCAGTGATGGGATGGGTTTCACCATAATAGTGCCTATAATAGATATTGTTTATTTCGATTATTAGTTTCGTCAATGTAATAAACAATAATAAATTTCTATAATTACAAGTAGCCTGGGATCAATTCATTTCCATAATTCTCAGCATCGTCCCAGTATCCCAAATTAACACTGGCATCAAATGCTGATTCAACAGTTCTGATGTGTTGAATATTTAATGGATGCATAACATTTTCTTGTTTCTCCAGACATTTTTTACTTAAATCAAGATCTAAAGGTTGATTGTTAAGAAATTATACATCAATATATCCTAAAATATGATTTGTTCAGTTTCTCAGTTTTTAAAGGATACAGGCTGTATTTCTCATACTTTCAAGGGTGCTGACAGTGAATTCACTAATTTCATTGAACTCCTTTTTAAAATTCAATGGAAATAGTTTCTGACATTTTTCACAATGTTCTTTGGTAGCATCGCATGCACTTTTGCACGAAGCACACATGGCTGCTGTGGCATATGGTTCTGGCTCTTTGCACTTTTCACAGTCACAAGTAAAGTAATAGGTTTTTTCAAGCTCTTCCCTTCTCGTTCTTGTGGTATTTAAAATATCAATGTATGAAATATGTATCTGAAACATTCATGTTTATGATAAGTATTATTTTCTTTCAAAATTTGATAAGTATAAAATACAGACCAGAGACCAATCTAATTGAGGAATATCTTCGATAGCTCTGATCATGAGTTTGGTACCTTCAAAAACAGCCACAGCATTGGGTTTGCAGCTGTGATCTATTACAGAAGGGCCAAGGTATATTCCAACACCTATACTATTCATATCCGTGTCGAGTATGTTGTAGGAATTTACGCAGATTCTTCCATAAATACCCATCAACTCAGCTGGATTGGGAAGCTCCACTCCCTCCAAATAATCTTCCAAAACTTGACAGAGAGTCAGAAAATGATCCACCCTTTTCGGATCTTTCTTGACATCGGAATAATCTGTTCATAACAAGCATGAATTAGTTCTAACTCATCGAAATTATTTAAAACGCTAAAAAATAATAAAACGCACGGGACATCAAATCCTTGAATCTCCTGTACATGTTGTTGCCGTACGAGTCCTTCTCGTCGGCGCCGCCCTGCTGCAGCTTTATGACGATTCGCGCGAGCAGCCGCGCGGCGTCCGGCACGATTTTCGGCAGTACTCGCTTCAGATTCGGACACTCGGCCTTGTGTATCTTCCACGACTCCTTTTGGCAGAGCCGATCGCAGTACGAGACGTACTGGCATCCCGAGCACTTCAACAGTTTCTTGCTGAAAGAAGAAATGAACGACAATAAAATAGACAATTAAAGAAAATCGAGTCGTTTGGATTTTAACGATGAATTTTCGCGCATTAACGAGTATAATTATAATCACCTCTTGAGGCAATTGTCGCAGAGATTGTCTTTGTGTTTCGAGCTCAAAACGTAGGCGAACGGTTTCGAGCTTATCAGACAATCGCCTCGTTTGACTTGCATGATTCTTTTATTATCGGTTAAACTTTTACTTCATGAAAGAGACAATTTTGTTTCTTTGTTAATACATCACCCACGACGAGCTAATTAGTTTCTGTACTCTTTATGGAATTGATGCGCGACTTTGTCTTATTACATTATAACAGACAGACGACGAACTTCGAAAACAAAACAGGCGCACATGCATTGGTAAGTCTTCTGCTCGCGGCGCGCGCACGACGATACTTTAGCCGCGCTCCGAAACTGACGAATGAATCCCGGCCACGATATATTATATATATGGTACGGAAGTAAATCACGGCAGCTGTCAAAACTCGAACGTCTCGAACTGCGTAAAGTGTATAATCGTGAATCGCGCGGCGCTGCCGGTGAGAATTTTTTGAAAAGAAAAAAAAGGAAAATTGATTATACACGGTCGTTGCGAACACCATTATCATGCGACTTACTCTTTGTTGAAGCAGTGATCGCAGTGGGTGTAGCGATGGTACGACGACAGCACGTAGGCGAACGGACTGCTCGTCAATACGGTCGTGCCCTTCTGAACGATCGCCTTCTGCGATCGGTAATTGCGGCCCCAGAATCGCATGATGTTTTTTTTTTTGAAGTTTCACACACTTGACAATTTTTTTTTATTTATAATAATAGAAAACCCCGATCGGAGGGTGTCCGACACGCAGAGAACACGCGATCGGATCGCAGCAAATCATTGCTGCGCGCGGCTGAACCCGGCGTCGCGCGCGCTCGTAAACTATTTTAGGCGAATACATATAATTGCCACTAGGTGATGATTATTTTTAGTGACGCACGTAGGCACGCGAGTACTTGATCCGCATGTCGAAGTGGTTATATATAAGTATGAGAAAAGTGTTCGGTGCATATGTAATGAAAAACTAAAGCGAATAATTAAAAAATATTTTATTAAAATGTTTGCTCCACAAATGTGTTTTTTTTCTTTTTTTTTTCTTTTTTTTTTTTAATGTATGTACAATGTACAATTATAAGCTAAAGCTTCAGTTTAGTCCTCTGTAGATATTTTCGCTTTTTTCTTTTTCTTTTTCTCTCTCTCTCTCGTTAATCTTCATTTTTGCATTTACAATTTTAACAACTGCGTTACTCATTTACAAAGTGCCTTGCATAATTTGCAGAGTAAATAAAAAAAAAAATAAAATAAAATAAACGTAACAAGGCCTTCCAAAAAACAACATTCACCTGTTACAGCAGACGTATAATCTAACTTTTTTTTCATTTGCACACATATTCTCCGACCCACACATTAAATTCTATTACAATTTGCTGGATTGACTGGAGTGCTCTCGAGAGTCGAATAGTACAGCGAGAGTTTGGCAGAGTCAATCAACGTTTAATTAAGTATGTGTGAAACAGATTTAACAGGAAGATATAAATCATAGAAAAAAACTGTCATCTAGAGTTGATCCGATACGAGGCAAAATCTTAAGTTGGCTTTTTTATTTCATGTTTCATTTGATATTTACATACGGTTTCGTTTTATACTAGTCATCATTTTTTTAGCACAGCAACGCGATCATTTTTACGTAAATAAAAGTATTTTATAATATTATTCTAGAAGTTTAGGTATAAAAAAAAAGACTCTGGTATCACACAAGTTTCAACAGTATGTAAAATTGATCATATAAAAATATTAAAATTGAATATATTATATACATAATCAAATACAAGTTCAAATCGCAAGTTTCAATTTTTTAGGACATCGTTCAAATAAAATCTATTTCATTGAAAACATGGTCGTTCTTAAAAAAAATTGTATTTAATTATCATAAAATATTTACATGATTTTAAACTTTTGGAGCATGTAAAACTTAGTTCATCTGAAATCAGTTAGTAATTTTTATAGCCTAGAGATTTCTCGTCAGTCGTTTCGGATACCCCAGAGACGGGTCTCGGATATCAATACCAAGTCGAGAATTCTCGCGAGATTTCTAAGTCTCACACACACTTAGTCTACAATATCATTCTACCACCTTTTCTTGTGTTCGTCCATAGATACACCTCCTGGTCCTAGAGAAACAATCATCAATAATCCACCAATAACAGAGAGGGTCTGTAAAAGATAACATTTAGTTAATAATTAGGTGAGTAATTTTCTTTAAAAAGCTCCAAGAATAAAATTATTCGAGCTTACCTGGAAGAAATCGTATTTAAGGAAATCTCTGAGTGGTTTGTAGTCTGGAACGGTCCACCAAGCGTTGTGGTAAAAGTTAAGGCCCGACAGGATGAGCACGAGCAGCAAAGCGCTGAGCTTAGTTTTGTATCCTATTGTCACGCAAATCATGAGGATACCACCCAAGACGTCCTGTATAACTTGGAACAAGGACCACTCGAATCGAATGAGCGTGATGAACATGAAAGCGAGCAGTATCCTGCCGGTAAGTTGGAGGATATTTTTGGGCTTGTTTTCACCCAGGGAAGGTACGCCGGCGAAGAGAGATCTGCCCTCGGCCTTGGACTCGGCCAGTACGAGGAGCAGTGCACCGATGAGCGCCAAATTCCTGAACAAGAACTGCATGTCCCACAGGATGCTGTAGGCCACCGTCTGCAGGATCACAATGAAAAACAGCACGCCGCACGCGTAATTGACCTTCATCCGGCCGATGACGGCCACGCAGCCGCCGAGCTGTCCGAACAGATTGACGAGCACGAAGAGGGTGGCCAGGAATTTGCCGCAGCCCCAGGACATGTCCATGTACTCGCTCTGCTCCTTCCATTGGAACCACATGCGCAGTCCGTCCTCGAGGAAGGTGGCGATGAGGCAGACCCGGGCCAGCGTCGGCAGCACATGTTTGCCGTGACGGATGACCTATAGAAGAGGCGGCGGCAGCGCATGAAAAAAAAAAAGACGTATGAATTAAAATTTCGTCACTTCTCGAGTGACCTATTTAAGATCGCGAATATCATTATGATCGAAAGCACAAAGACGTATGTATCGGCGATAAACTCCCTATGGCCAGACGCGAAGGAGTCAAGAGAGAGACTTGAAAAGGAGGTCTCTCGATCCTCGTCTCTCTCTCTCTCTCTCTCGCCATCGCGTGAAAGTATATTTTGGTAACGTCAAAAGAGAGAATAAAGAAGAGCCTTCGGAAGTGTCCAGTATGTACAGTGGTATTAACATAATGTATAGCAAATCTCTGCCACGTATTTTCTTTTCTCTCTCTCTCTCTCTGTCATCAAAACAACTAAAAAATGTTTAGCTCGCGCGAATTACACGGCCGGCATTGTTATACATTTCAGCGTTTGTCTGTATCTCTTTCTCTCTCGGCATGTATAAGAATTTCGACACGGAGCGTGTGTGTGTGTGTGTGTAAAGCACACATATCGCATGACTATACGTGGACATTTATTCATGCATATCGATACAATATGCACGAGTTATATACGAGTTACACGCGAGAAACGTATACGTGCTCCGAAATAAAAAAAAAAAAAAAAGGAAGGAGTACGAGCGATCGTACACTTGTTGTAGTAGTGCGTCGTGCCATACACACACGCAGATAGAGAGACACCGACCGACTCTCCGCTAAACGCTCGCGAAAAAACAGCGGCATATGGTTAAGTCGGTGCGGGTACACTGTAATAATGCAAGCTCTCGGCATTCCGCGAATTAAGTGGCACGCGAGATTCAGCAATGTAATAATTGAGCGAGACGTGTACGATGTGTACGAGAAAGCGTTTTTCCAGCTGTAGCAGCGGCAGCAGCAGCAGAAGCTGTACAATAATACGAGTCGTTATGAGGAAAAGCTCCAATGCTGCTGCTGCTCCGGGTTGGTTATGTCGCATCGTGTGCAGCAAGGCACAACACGTTTGCATTGCCAATTGACACATAACAAGACGACGAGAGAGAGAGAAGAAGCCCCTGAATGATGACGTAGACACAAGTGTGCCTATATATCGCTGCCCCGAGCGCAGGCACGTATGCCGCCGCGGCAGACGCCACGGATGTGCAGAGATATCTATCCGTATTATGCGTGCAGCATTACGCGAGAGAAAAAAGTGCAGAGAGAGAGCTCCAAACTTCGCGATAGATATCGGAGCCGTTCCGATCTCGTTTTTTTTTGGGTTTTTTTTAATGCAAGAAACGTACCTTGTCGGCTACGTCCTCAGCCTTGGATATGACCTCCTGCTGGTTCATCTTTCGCTCGCTCTATGTATTATTCTACTATCGTGATAATAATTCACACTGCGGCACACGCGTCGCGCTCTGTCGTCGTGCTCTGCAGCAGCCCCGCACCGATGCGCGATATATACAACAATACTCTCGACCGATTACAACGAAAAACTGTTACACGCGCACTACCTGCTAGTCTACTGCTGTTGCTGTTGCTGCTGCTGCTGCCTCTCCTTTCACGCACACACACACAGAGTACACAAACACATACACCACCCGAGCGAGTGAGAGAGACAGACAGACAGAGAGAGAAAAAAAATATGTATTCGAGTTCTGCTGGTCTTTCGGCCCGCGATGCGAATGGATATATATGCGTGTGTGCGCGCTGCGGCGGCGGTGTGTTGTTCGCGTGCGAGAGTCGCTCGTGGCTCTGCTGCGCACGGCGGCGGCGGCCCCGCAGTCAACACGTATATTATAATGTAAAATGTACAGGCAGGCCAGTCGGGCGGGCAGAGGCTGAGCCAGGCGGCCGCGGGCGAATATATAAGCAGCGACGGAGACAGCCTTTACTTTACTCACACTTTATATGTGTAGTTGTAGGCCGTGAACGTGTGTTATATTTCGCCGAGACAATGACAGACAAATTTAGGGAGTCGAACGTTTACGTACACGGTACCATATTTTTCGAGTTAAAATCGTGCATTCGAAAAATGTATCGATGATCGGTTACAGGAGTTCGATGCGATGGATCACTCGGAGCTTTTGCAAGTTCGACCGCTGGAAACGTATCTTTCATATAGTTAGATGGAATGCATAACTCGAAGAAAAACATTCAATGACGCACAAAGTATTTTTCGAGACATCGTGTACAAATCGAAGTTTTTTCGATCTAATTATTATCGAGCTCCGAGTTACGATAATGTCATACGCATCGTTACGTATCGGAGTTCGCGTTAATTTTTGACTGGTCGCGATCGATATTTTCCTACCGATACACGCATATCAAACGTGTATTTAATCGATGAATTTCGATATCGAACGATACGGCCGCGATCGCGTAACAATTACCGTTACACGCGCGCGCAATTTTTATCAATCTAATCGTCGCGGAAACGACAACGAGCGCTACGATTCCTCTTTCTTTCTATCTTTCTTTTTTTTCGGTTACATTACAATGGCCAAAGTGAGATACGTTCCATATACGGGAATAATAATTATAATTGGATCATGAACTTGTTGGCGAGGCCGCGAGCGAGCGAATACGTAATCGGAGCACACGAGCGAACGCGTTGGCAATCTTACTTTTTGACCTACAAAAAACGGCCTATTATAACGGAAACTAGTATATGGAAGTCCGCGCGCGCGCTGCTGTACTATGCGCGGCCCGAGTTTTATAATAATATATAATAATGAGCCGCAAGTCGTAAGTATTTTTAGCTCCCGATTTTGCAGCGCGCGCGCACATATACAAATCGAGCGAATCGTCGCGCAGATGTCGCGTATATCTCGTTCTCCTTCCTTGTCCGCGTTTTTCACATAAACCGGCGATACACCGGCGTACCGACGATTGCCTATATAGGCCTATTTACTCGTGAACGCCACGAGTCGCGTATAGATATTTGGCAAGCCGCGCGAAACTTTATTATACACGTGGCTGGCGTGTAATTTTACTGTCTCGGTCGCGAAACGCGCGCAACGTTGTCATCGAACACTGCTGAGTGCTGCGCTGTGATCGCCTCCAGACTACTACTATGTACTATATACTCCTATATGCTGAATGCTGATTTCCACCGCTCCGCGTCCGCGAAAGTATATAGCGTATATACTGTACAGCGCCTCAGTATTACAACCATACGGCAGCAGCAGCAGCAGGTTAAAAACAATATGTGAGAGAGATTTTTATCGACTCCGCACGCACGCACCAGCTGGCTGTTACGAATCGAGGAATAAACAACGTGAAATAAGAGAAAATTCGCGCGAGGTGTGCAGTTGTGTGCAGCGCGGAACTGTGCGAGTGCGAGACGGACGTGTGTACTTAATTATCGTTGTTATTATTGTCGTAGGGACGTCAGACGTCCTGCGTTCAGTACATATAGTATAGTAGCAGAGTAAACATTGAAGCGCCATGAAGTGCCAACGAGCCGCGATAAGCCTTCTGCTGGCTACGCTGGTCTGCCTCGACGCGGCCAGCGCGTACTTCATCACCGTCGACTCCTACACCGAGGAGTGCTTCTTCGAGAAGGTCGAGGCCGACACCTCGCTGGGTAAGTGTTGAAAACTGTATGAGCGCGATTTTATATCCGCGAGTCTCACGCGCGTGTCTGTGTTTTTTTCCATATGTCCCCGCAGTGCTGTCGTTCGAGATCGCCGACGGCGGCTTCCAGGACATCAGGGTGCGCATCAACGACGCCGACGGCCGACTGATCGCCAACGAGGAGCACCGCATCGGCGCCTACTTCACCTTCAAGTCGCGCGCCGCCGGCCCCATACAGTACTGCTTCGACAACACGGCGGGCTCGGCCTCGCCCAAGCTCATCGTCTTCAACATCGAGGTCCAGGAGCCCGGCAAGGAGGGCCATCACGCCGGCAAGGACGGCAAGACCGACGACGACGTGTCCAACGACAAGCTCACCGACATGATCACCGAGCTCGGCTCGACCATACGCTCGGTCAAGCAGAATCAGGAGTACATGGAGGTAAGGCCTACCCTATAGAAGCATTACTTTTTTTATGGAAGAACAGTAATGATTTAATCATTGTGTTTTTTTTTCTTTTAGATAAGAGACAGAGTCCACAGGGAAATCAGTGAGCATACGAATTCCAGCGTTGTCTGGTGGTCTGTGTTTGAATTCGCTGTGATGGTAGTCTTAAGCGCAGCACAAATCTTCTACTTGAAGAGATTCTTCGAAGTCAAGGCTTTCGTCTGAGCCCAATTGTGTTACTGTACAAACTTAACGAATAATATTGAGACAGAAAAGAAGGACGTTATAAGCGTAAGAGATTGTGAGTTCTGTTAAGACAAAAAATTATATAATTTTTTAACGAGAAATTGTTATGTACATTGATGATTGGCTACGCAAGCTGTCAAGCGTCACAACTTTTCACCGCAACAGAATGCTGGTAAAGTTTTTGCAGTTGTAATATATTTGTAGAATTTAATGCATTCTCTTTTGATAAATAAATCAGTGCTATTTTCTAAAGTTGAATAACTTCTATTAAACAATTAATTATGTTTGCCATATTTTATTTTTTTTTTGTAGTTCGTAAAACACCAGCAGAAGTCAATAAATTGTCACGATGCATAATATACGTGGCTCTGCTGTATCTTATCGCGTTGCAAGCGGTTACAATAATATTAATACACGTGTGAAACGAACGAAACCGAGAGAGAGAGAGAGAAAAAATCTGCTTTTTGAATTCGCGCGGCTAAACTCGGAGCCGGTGTGCTGCAGAATCTGCTCCGTAATACGTGGCGCACCCTCATAGAGCGTACTCGCTACTATATCGGCGATTATCAAACACAAATGTATACAGATATACAATATTAATACGCCGCGGCGGCTGCGAAGCGAGAGAGCCTGACACCACCGTGACTCTCCATACAATCTTCGTATTCTGACCGCTAATACATACCGAAACTGCAAGTATATAGTCGTGTAGTGTCTCGCTCTTATCATTCGGAATCAAGTGTGTGCCGCTGGAGACGAAAAAATTTATTTTCGGACGTAACTGCGACGACGACAGCTCGGTGGTGGCCCGCGTACAGTTGCGGTTGTGTGTACCGAATTTGCATATGGATGCGGATAAACAAAGTAACGTCGTCGTTTCAACTGATGTCAAAGTTTAATTGTTGCCGGAGTCCGTGATATCGATTCTTTTTATATATTACGCGAGTTTAGAGAGTATAGTGCGGTGCGTCCAAAATATAAACATGAACTGGCTGATTTCGATGTTTCTGCTGGCGTGTTTCGCCTGGCGAACTGGACAGTCCTACTTCATAACCGTCGATGCACATTCCGAGGAGTGTTTCTTCGACAACGTCGAGTACGGCACCAAAATGGGTTTGTTTGTTTGTTTTTTGCCTAATTCTTTAATTCGATACGATTAAATGCCTCTCGACCTTTGTGCTAACACGAGGTTAGATTCGTCACGTCAAACGCTCATGTTTTTCAATCGCGCTCCGACTTTGTTACGCAGGCCTGACGTTCGAAATAGCCGAGGGTGGCTTTCTCGACATCGACGTGAGGATAGTGGCCCCGGACAACAAGATCATGTACGACGGCGAGCAGGAGAGCAGCGGCAAGTTCACGTTCGCCGCCCATACCGGCGGTGTTTACACTTACTGCTTCAGCAACTTCAGGGGCACTATGACGCCCAAGGTGGTCATGTTCAACATGTTCATCGGTGAGAGTCCCAGCCAACAAGCCAAAAAACAAGCCGTCGAAGGCGATACTTCCAATGCCAAACTCGAGGACATGATCAAGGAGCTCAGCGAGGGCTTACAGAGTGTCAAGAGCGAACAAGAGTACATGGCTGTAAGTTGATTTGCACTTGGTAATTGTAATTGCTCGACAGATACGAAGCACTGATGATTTTATTGTATTTCAGGTCAGAGATAGAAATCATAGGGCTATCAACGAAAGCACCAACTTCAGAGTTGTTGCGTGGTCGATCTTTGAAGCTACAGCTTTGCTGTGCATGACGTTAGGTCAAGTGTACTATTTGAAGCGTTTCTTTGAAGTGAGACGTGTTGTGTAAGATGTGATTTAACAAAGACAATTGAAGTGAATTGATAAGTTTTATCTTCTAAGACTTTCTGAGAAAGAAACAGAGTCAGAGATGTATATGTTGTTCTAATTGTAACTATAAGTAAATGGATCTTTTCAATAAAGAGTATTGTCATTCTTATAGCTTATGTATAATATATTTGATTTATAGTTTTCCACGTAACATTATTACACTAATTAACAAAAACTCTAAAAAAAACAGTTACAACTAATTCTCGAGAGTCCATGGTTTCACCATCCTCTTGGCGTCCCATGGATACGCGTGTGTGTATTGTGGTGGTTCTTCCAACGCTACACCACCTTTCCTCATTTCATCAATGAAAGCTGCAAACTTTTGGCTCGAGTTTTCATCGATGTCGCAGTAAACCGATGTGATTCCAGCTTCCAGGCATTTCTGCGCCAACATTCTCCCAACATTCGAATAGGCAGAAATGTCATTTGTTCTGAAGAAAACATAATAATGAAAATTACAATCTTTAACTTGTAGATTTAAATGTTATTAAAATTTTGTAAATCGTTACTTGTAAAGCTGCTTTTTCAAGGCCCAATCTCTCGTCGACACCGTTATGGTCGGACCATGTTTATAGTGAACAATCTCGGCGTCGAAGTGCCTAGCAGAAACCCTGACGAATAATCTGCGAATCAAAAACGTCATAACCATCAGTTCGCCTCGTATACAAAACACTCGTTAAACTATTTGAAACGTTAAAGACGTACTTGTTCCAGAACTCGTGTCCCTTCTTATCGAGATGATAACCCTGTGGCTTGCGGGCGATCGTCATTAACTCCAAATTTCTCGGATTCCTATTTCTGATCTCTGTGCACCTCTCCAGCACGGCCGCGTTGCTTCGCACTTGCCTCGACGCGACGACGACGATGTTGCCCCCAAGACTCTTGGCCGCGATCGACGAGCCAGTCAGCCTCAAACCGTTCATCATCATTGTTTCAAATTATTTAAAATAGAACGAAAACAAAAAAGTGACGACCGTACTCGAAAGGCGCATGGAAAAATTATCGCACCGCACATCGACTGCTGCTGTGTTTACAAAGCAGCCACCGGGCTATAACAGCAGTATAGTCTATGCGTGAGCAGCCGCGAGGACTCCGAAGTCGAGCGCGTATCGAACGAGCACTGACTCGGCGGCAAATTTAAAAGGTCGAGCGTCGCGGCCTAGCTGCAGGATAGGAGTCGAGTCAATGAACTCTCTCGCGCGCAAACGTGTGCAGAATTGACATAATAAGGGCCGCGACGATGTAACGAATAACGTAAAAAATGTTATTTCGCGCAATTTTCTCGTTTCAATCATTTGTAGAATAGCAATGAATTCTCATTAGTCAATATCCGAGTCGAAATTCGAAAGTATATAACGCCATACCCGAGCGAAATTTACACGCGATAACGATCCCAGCTGACGACATAGATTACAACTCATACATGGGTTCAGTACACAAACGACGACCGACTTCAGGGCAATGGCAATACATATTCGCACAAATCCGTAGTCCGTACAGTCGTCGTCAGTCGTGCGTGTGTGTACATTATAGTGCACTGCCACTGGAGAGTCGCGCGGCGCCCTGCACATTATACACAACAGAGGCGATTGTTTACCTCGAAACGCTTTATAGTGTGTGTATACACACGCAGGCCAGTGACAGTTCGCTGCACCTCACGCGCGCTCCACTCGAGGAATCGCTTTAACCACACTGCACCCCAATCGTATTAGGGGTTTTTTTTTTCTCTGTATATATAGCCTGGACATTTTTTGGTGACTGCAAAGTTTATAGTATATAACGTAAGTACGAGCGCCGCGATTGATTTTCTTTAATTGTTCATGTATAGCTCCGTGTATAGACGTAGATTTCACGTCGCGACGTCGCGTGTATTATAAGGCACGCACAGGTGTGTGTTTACGCTTCTTTACACACACACACACATTCCATCCGTGTCTGTCTGTCAGTGTACCTGTATAATTATCTATATACACACTGACGTACGTCTATGTATAACACGCGCCAGTGCTTCGCCCTTCTTTTTTTATTCCTCCTATAGCCGATATATACGCTATTGTACTCACACGGACTGCAGTGCGCGCGTTTATAACGTTTTTGTGTTTACGCGTTAACGGTAAATGTTGTTGCTATCGCGATTCGATGCGCTAGCGACTCGGAGCGTGTGTGTATATACGTGCATATTATTATTTACTTCGTCGTGGATCGTCGCCGAGTAAACAATTGCGCGCGGCTATTCTCTCGCTATAATACTATCTATATATATATACTGCGCTTGTGTTGTGTGCATTAGAATTTGGAAGGGTCAACGTACCCGTCGACCGAGCCGAAGTGTTGCGTTCGAAACTGTTTTCCGTTTGAAACTCTTCGAAGGTCCTTTTTATAGAAAATATTACCTCGAACTCTTTTGATCGATATTTTAAAACGATGCCTCTTGCTTGACATTTATAATTACAGAGCGCCTCAACGTCCAATCGTTCCTTCGGACTCGTCGATTTTTATTTTTCCTTTTCTTTTCTTTTTTTTATGATTAATTCGTTCTTCGTCGCGTTCGTGGGAGTTCTTACTCGTCGTCGTCGACAACATCATGAGTTTACTCGACAAGCAGACCGCTGATACCCGCGACAATGGCGCGGCGGACACGACCACCACCAGCAAAGCCGTCGACGAACCCCAAGGTGTCTCGCAGGAGTCGACGGGCATCACCCCCGAAATGGTTCTGGGCTTTACATCCATTACCGATTGTGAGTTTCCTTTATATATCCTCCTTGTTTTCGCTTCTTTGCACTAATAAAACGTGTTCATTTTTCGACAGCCTACTTGTGCACGCCCGAGGCCAATACCTACGGCATCGACTTCACGAAATTTCACATTCGCGACATCGACACGGGCCTGACTCTGTTCGAAATCGCAAAGCCACCCGTACTGAAATCCGGTAAGTTTTTTTTTTTATTTTTTATCTTTACGATGATCATTCGGAGAACTGATCATTTTTTCGTTTTCACAAGACGCGGACGGCGAGAAGAGCGGCGGCGAACGCGTCGCGCCCCCGACGGCCGACGAGACCAAGGACTCCAACGCCGGACGATACGTGCGTTATCAGTTCACGCCACAATTCTTGAAGCTGAAAAACGTCGGAGCCACGGTGGAGTTCATGACGGGCTCGAAGCCCATCAGGAGATTCCGCATGATCGAGAAGCACTACTTCAAGAGTCAGCTGCTCAAGACGTTCGACTTCGAGTTCGGATTCTGCATACCCAACAGTCGAAATTCCTGCGAGCACATTTACGAATTTCCCGAGCTGCCGGCGGAATTAGGTAGCGTATATATACGATAAAAGTAGTGAAGTTTATGCTGAATTTTTTATCGCTCAAATTTTTCCAGCTGCCGAAATGATTGCCAATCCGTTCGAGACCAAATCGGACTCGTTCTACTTCGTCAACGACGAGCTCGTGATGCACAACAAAGCGGACTACGCGTACAACGGCGGCCTGGAGCAAAAGGAATGAACTCTCGTCATGGATTTTTCTAAATGAAACAACTTGGAACGTTGGCTCTAAAGAATGTAATATCATTAAATCAATTTATTACTTTGTACATACTATATATATAATTGTATATTCATCACATATATACTCAATTTATATCACGGGTGATATAAAATAATTTTTCCTTTTCTTCTTTGTATAAATAATTTACAATTTTAACTTTGTATTTATATTTTACAAAGTTTTGGTACATCACAAGTAAACGATAGCAGCTGCTATCAAATCTACACAATATTTCATGTACGATTTTCACTTTGAACATGAGCAATAGCTTTCATGCCTTATTTGGACTATGTAACTTATTGTTCTATCGTTTGCAAAAATAAAAGATGCATTTAAAATTTGAACTGAACAAAAATCGATGCGAGTTGAAGTCATTCATCGAATTTGAATTGCAAAGATTTTATGTAAACTGTTATTGTAGAAATATTTTATTTATAACATATTTGACTCTGTGTTCATAAAATGAAAGTATTTATAGAATTGAAGAATAATTACTAATGAACACAATTAGGATTAGGACTATTCACCTGCCAATTTGTTTTTATTAATGTTCTTCATTAATAAAATTAGTTGAACAATCTAGAAATTCTTTTGGTTTGTCTGCATGTACCCAGTGTCCTGCACCAGTTATATAATGAAACTTAGCCATTGGAAATATCTTTTGAATAAATGGATGATCACTTTCTTTTAGATAATCACTTTCAGTTCCACCGATGAATAACACTGGACCATTGAACTTTCTATCTTTTTCGTGTGTGAATTTCGCAATGCGAGTAGGAAAACTCTCTTCTAAAACAGGAAGATTTATCCGCCATTTGTATTTCCCAGGCTCAGATTCGACCAAATTAGTCAATAAAAACTGAAAATTAAAAAAATTGATAAATTACCAACAATTGCAATAATTGGTTTTGTTAAATGAATAATGATTTTATTAAAATTAAGTACCTGTCGAACTGCGTTTGATTTGACGTTTACAGAAAGTTGCTCATCTGCTAATTTCCTTGCTTTAGTTAATGACGGTGCACCTTCTAAAGATATGGACCTCATAGCATCGAACAATTGGTTCATTCCCAATAGACTAGGGCTCATTTTAGTAGGACAAAAATCAACAACAATAAGTTTTTCAACCAACTCAGGGTAACTCAATGCTGTATACATGACAGCTCCACCTCCCATACTATGGCCCATAAGAATAAGTTTCTTAATTTCTAAATCTTTTGCTAGTAATGCTATATCTTCTGACATATGATGATATGTATGCTGTGCAGCATGTGGTGAATCTCCATGATTTCTGGCATCGATGGTGATTACCTAAACAATAAATTAATATTTTTATATCAAGTTTCTATAATAAGAGACAATAATACAGGTAATCATATGTACCTTTCGTTTCGTCTTCTGATGAATGGTTTTTGACAAGCTGTTCCAATTGCTTTTGGAACCAAAGAGACCATGCATTATCAAAATTGGAGCTTTTGTATCTAACGCTTCATGATTCGTTGACTCGTACGATGCATATGCCAACTTGACAGGTTTTTGACTGCTGTCATAAATAATCACTTTCAGTTGTAACCGATGATCAAAATTTAAAAATAAAAAAAATCTAAAATACTTACGACGAAGTGGTGCTGGCTGCTCTTCGTTCGACAAGAACTGCATTTAACCTGCACGGCAACAACGACAGGGTCGAGGAACATTTTCTTAAAATCATCTTCTGTTTGTCACTGGCCTCGCACCTGATCGTCTGGGAGATGGCGAAGCTACGAAGTCGTTACGGAAAATTTTAAATCACGTCGCTGGAGTATCATCGAGAAAACATGCTACTATTTTGACAATCACCCACGGATCTGTGCCAATGCCAAATGTCTTACGCGCGCCACGCAGCAGCAGCGAGAGGAGCCGTCTTGAAAAGAATAGTGTCCGAAGCAGACGACTTTTGATTATGCAGTTGTCATAGCGCTAAAAATTTATGCCCCAGATTGCAGTTATGAGGATGATTTTTCGTTTCAAGTTTTAAGGATGAAATAAAATTATTTGATTGAAGAAATAAAAAATTATTTCGGATAAAGATTTTTTAATAACTCTTTTATTTTTTATATTTATGTTTTCGGAATTGTAAATGGCTAGCATTAAAACCGGAAATACAACCGAATCGTGAATTAAATATTTTTCCCTGGATAACTTTCAATGGCAATTAATTTCATCGATACTCGAGTTATTTCAATTATCTATTTGCATGTGTAAATTTGTATATTGGGAAATGAATTGTGGGCGGAGCTGAATCAATGACTGGTACGTAACGCGTCAATTAAGACAAGACTTGCCTGTTTGTACACAAATGCGTCAGAATCAAATTGTCAGTTGCAGACGCTTTTATCACATTGTTTGGGACCCGGCTCGGCTCGTACAAGTTTTTAAACACATTCCTTATATTTTTATATTTTTCGACGAGACAGAACAGAATCATCAAAATGGTTCGTACTTGATTCATAATCAATAGCTACTAAAAAAATCTCATAATGCCCTATTTTAATTGTAATGTTTACTTTTTCATCAGAGTGTAACGTTGCACACAGACATCGGTGACATCAAAATAGAGCTGTTTTGTGAATTGTGTCCAAAAACTTGCGAGGTGAGTGAACTTTGCAGTTATTTCTGTTACATCATTGTTAAAAATTTGTCTACGAACTTGTTATATTGAATCTTACAGTACGTAATGTCATTGCTTGACACATAACCTCATGTAGAAATTTCTGGATATTTATTTTTTAATCTAATTCAAACATTGTTAATTTCTTAATGAATTTGTATATTTGTATATGTATTTCAATTTGTATATTTATTAATTTTATTTTTACAGAATTTCCTTGCACTTTGTGCCACGGACTACTACAATGGTTGCATATTTCACAGAAATATTAAGGGATTCATTGTACAAACGGGTGATCCACTGAACACTGGTAAAGGAGGTACATCCATTTGGAACAGAAAATTTGAAGATGAATTCAAAGAGGAACTGAAGCACAATGCAAGAGGTTTGGTGTCGATGGCTAACAATGGTCCAAATACAAACGGAAGTCAATTTTTCATCAGCTATGCTCCTCAACCACATTTGGATTTGAAATATACGTTGTTTGGCAGGTAAATAGAAGCTACAACATTTGTACTTTTACCAAACCTTACATTTCAATTTTTAACATACTTTAATTGTCATTCAATTTTCAGGGTCATCGATGGTTTGGACACTTTAGAGCAATTGGAAAAATTGCCGGTTAATCCTAAAAATTTCAAGCCCCTCACTGACACAAGAATCAACTCCGTAACAATTCATGCTAATCCTTTAGCAGCATAAAATAAGTTAATTATTTTCTGTAGATACAACTGAGTTTGAATATATTATGTAAATAGAACTGAATATTATGTAAATACTGTACTGAAAAATCAAATGTATTAATATTAATTTATCGATTAAATTTTTCACAAAATAAAAATAAGGTATGAAAATTAACTATTAGTTTTTTATTTGGTTGGCCAAGGTTTGCATGCTTAGTTTGAAAAATGTATACATAAGCTTTCTTGTAAATATGAGTTCTGGTAATAATTAGTTTTCTGACTGAGCAACTTGGAAAAAACGAAACCCCAGTGTCTGCATTTCAAATGCGCAACTTTTTCTCTCCTGCATTATAGTCACGGCCGGTTGCGGATTATGGAGCACGCCAACCAGGGGTGGTATAGCAAATAAGGGCTGCAAATTTCGGAATCATTATATTTTTGAAGATTACTCCATTATTGCTATGAGAAAAGAGATCAAATTAAAATTAATCATTGATTCGGTGAAAATATAACGTGTTTGTGAGTAAGCGAATCGATCTGGTGAAGCTTCAGATAGAACCGAAAATCTGTTTACCTGAAAATAAAATCAAAATCCTTCAAAAGCGTCCAAAAGCAATGAACAATTCAATTCATTACCTTAGTTAAACATAGATCCAAATTAAATCAATCTATGGATTATTAAAGTTTACTGGCGAATTCGCTCAAATAAAAATTAAAAAAAAAAAATTGAATTTCATTTGTTATTTTTACATGAAATTTCAAAAAGTTTTTTTCGTACTTTGTTATACTTGAAGTTTTATTTTGTTTACACTTTCGATAATCAAAAGTTCTCATAATTGTTTCATCATTTCCCTAATTGCTATTACCAATCTACAATCTTATTTTAATACTGTGAATATAATTTTTTGGGTTTTCAAAAATTAATCGCTTTAAGTGGACGACAAATAAAATTTTACGAGGAAGCGGCAATAGGTCGAATCCGCCACTGCAAGTTGGAACTTGTTAAAATATTCTAAGCCAAATGTATAAACAGATAAATCGGTACATTACTTGTAAATAATATCATTATAAACGATTTTGACATCGTCCCTCAACACACTGATCATGTTAATAGCGAAAACAAATTATTTTGAATTTTGTCAAGACTTATTTGGTATCGAAAAATATATCTCACTTGTTCAAATTCTAACATGGACAACAGGGAAAAGAAATTCGAAGAAATTGACTCGGAAACTAAATTAAGTGAACGGGACATTGTTGTTTCAGACGCCAAAAAATACGTTTGTGATATTTGCCAGGAGGCATTTACACTAGAATCGAGCATGATAACACACCGCAATACAATTCATAATGAGCAAAAATATTACACGTGCGGCAAGTGCGAGAAGAAATTCGAGTTCCGAAGTCATTTGAGTAGACACCAAATATCAGAACACAAAAGTTGCAAAGATTTTTCATGCGATCAGTGCGAGAAAAAATTTGTGCAAAGATCGAGTTTGTTCACGCACCAAAAATTAGTCCACAAACTTCGCAATGATTTCACATGCAAAAAGTGCGAGAAGAAATTTGAAAATAAATCAAATTTACTCAGGCACAAAAAAGTATTCCACGAAGTATTCAAAGATTACTTATGTGAAAAGTGCGCCAAGAGATTTGGAAATAAACTGAGTTTGCTGAAACACGTAAAAATAGTCCATGAGGGTCCCCAAGATTTCTTATGCGACAAATGCGGGGAGAAATTTAAAAAAAAACCGAGTTTGCTCTTACACCAAACGACAGTCCACGAAGGTCGCAAAAATTACATATGTGACAAATGCGAGAAGACATTTGGACAAAAAGGAACTTTGATCTATCACCAAAAAACAATTCACGAAGGTCGCAAAGATTTCGCGTGTAACAATTGCGCGAAGAAATTTGGAAGAGAATCGCATTTGCTCATTCATGAAAAGACAATACACGAGGGCCGCAAAGATTACGAATGCGACAAATGCGATAAGAAATTTGGACAAAAAGGAACTTTGATCTATCACCAAAAAACAATTCATGAAGGTCGTAAAGATTTCGCATGTGACAAATGCGGGAAGAAATTTGGAGAAAAATGGATTATGATTCAGCACCAAAAAACAGTCCACGAAGGTCTTAAAGATTACGCATGCGACAAATGCGAGAAGAAATTTGGGCAGCGAACTACTTTGCTTGCCCACCAAAAGATGGTACATGAGGGTCGTAGAGATTATGAATGCGACAAATGCGAGAAGAAATTTGGACTTAAACATCAATTGCTCAGACACCAAAAAGTAGTTCACGAAGGTCGTAAAGATTACGCATGTGACAAATGCGAAAAGAAATTTGGACGTAAATCGATTTTACTCAGGCATCAAAAGACAGTCCACGAAGGACGGAAAGATTTCTCATGCGAATATTGTGAGAAATCATTTGGACAAAAAAATCATTGGCTTTTACATCAAAGGACAGTACACAAAGATCGTAAAAAATTCGAATTTTAATTAATCCATTTGAAAAAAATTGCGTCGATTTCTACGTTGATTCAACTCGATATCATCTATCATTACACTTTTGGTCAATATCGTGGTTGAAGCTTGCATTTTTTGGCTTATACTTCAACAATGAGCCGAGAATTTTTTTTATTTCTTATTTTGAGATGAAGCGCGACCCTAAATTGATCAAGCACCTGTTTTTCAAAGATTTTGATAGATCTGCGGACTGATTCATGATTATTTCTGCCTCGAGAGACGTAGTAATAATAATTTTCACTCAAAAAACTCTAGCTCTCCTAATTCATGAATCCTCTTCCTCAATATTTTTATCCAATCCAAAATTTTATTTTAATCCAACGGCCAACGATTTTTATTTTTCAAGTTTCCAAAAATCAACTGCCTTTCAGGTGATGCCGAAGCCTCGATTTTGACCGACCAAGCATTAAAATTGTACATTCAAATAACTTTTTTATTAGACCTGAAAATAATCATTTTCTTGGGGCGGCGGTTTTCTAATTCGCCACATTCGCCACATTCGGTAAAATTATATATTACTGCTCTACACCGCAAAAAAGTATCTCAAGATACGCGTAATAAAATCGGCGAAGCCGAGTGCACTGGAGATTCATTTTTTCTTGGCTGAATACGATTTTTTATAACCAATGGACATGTCATTTACTGTTTTGCACATCGTCGAGAGAAAATAGTCGAGTCACTGGCCCGAAAAATACACTCATGTACAATTTTAATTCTGTTAGGCATTATCAACAAAAAATCCAAAATACTCAAGTACTCTCAAAAAAACTTGATTACTCTTTTCGAAAAAGATAGTTTTGCACTCCCATCATCGCAGCTGAAAAAAGTATTAAACCAGCAACAATCTCGTTCAAATTCGCAACAAACTTACGTTAGGACAGGTTTAAATTTGGAAGGCAATGAATAAACCGATAAATCGATAACAATGATAACATTGTAAACAATATGATCATAAACGAATCGAACGTCGTCCCTCGAAGAACTGATCATGTTTATAGCGAAAATAAATTAGTGTGAATATTGTCTTTCCCGACGAAACAAGCCTCAATACCAGAACAAAAATTGTAATAATTTAATTTCTGTAGCACCAAATATAAAGATCCAACATTTATTTTAGTCACCAAAATGGATAAAAGTGAACAGAAATCAGAAGAAATTGTCTCCAAGATTGTTTCAGATGGCAAACGATACGTTTGTGATATTTTCCAAGAGGCATTTGCACTAGAATCAGGCATGATAACACACAGAGACACAATTAATGATGAACGAAAAGATTACACGTGTGACAAGTGCAAAAAGACATTCGAGTTCCGAAGTCATTTGAGTAGACACCAAATATCAGAACACAAAAGCCGAAAAGATTTTGCATGCAACAGGCGTGACAAGAAATTTGTGAAAAAATCGAGTTTATTCACTCACCAGAAATTAGAACACAAAGATCGCTATGATTTCATATGCAAACCGTGCGAGAAAAAATTTGAAAATAAATCAAGTTTACTCAGGCACAAAAAAATATTTCACGAAGTTTTCAAAGATTACTTATGTGACAAGTGCGCGAAGAGATTTGCAAGTAAGCAGAAGCTGCTCTTACACATAAAAGCAGCCCACGAGGGTCACAAAGATTTTGCTTGCGACAATAGCAAGGGCATATTCAGAAAAAAATGGCATTTGCTCTCCCATCAAAAAACAGTCAACGGAGGTCGAAAAGATAACGCGTGCAACAAGTGCGAGAAGAAATTTAGACAAAAAAGGCATTTGATTTTGCATCAAAAGACAGTCCATGAGGGTCGCAAAGATTACGCATGCGACAAGTGTGAAAAGAAGTTTGGATTCAAATCAGATTTGTTAAAGCACCAAAGGATAGTGCACGAGGGTCGCAGAGATTATGCATGCGACGAATGCGATAAGAAATTTGGACATAAATCGCATTTGCTCAGCCATCACAGGGTAGTACACCAGGGCCGGAAAGATTACGCATGCGACAAGTGCGACTGGAAATTTGGAGAAAAAAGGACTATGATTCAGCACCAAAAAACAGTCCACGAAGGTCGTAAAGATTACGCATGCGACAAGTGTGAAAAGAAGTTTGGACTAAAATGTAATTTGATCAAACACCTAAAGATAATCCACGAAGGTCGAAAAGACTTTGCATGCGACAAGTGCGAGATGAAATTTGGACAAAAAGTGCATTTGCTTGTGCATCAAAGTACGATCTACGAAGGTCGGAGAGATTTTGCATGTGACAAATGCGACAAGATATTCGTAAAGAAATCGAATTTGCTCATTCACCAAAACTCCGTCCACGAAGGTCGGAGAGATTATGCATGTAAAAATTGTGATAAGAAATTTGGAGATCCAAGCACTTTGATCAGACACACAAAAACGATCCATGAAGGTCGCAAAGACTACGCATGCGACAAGTGCGACATGAAATTCGGAAAAAAATCACATTTGCTCAGACACCAAAAAACAGTCCACGAAAATCGCAAAGATTACGCATGCGACAAGTGTGAGATGAAATTTGGGAGTAAAGAAGATTTGCTCAGACACCAAAGGACGGTGCATGAAGGTCGGAAAGATTTCGCGTGTGAAAAGTGCGAGAAAAAATTCGGACTAAGACAACATTTGCTGGTGCACCAAAGAACAGTACACGAAGCCCAGAAAGATTTCGCGTGTGACAAGTGCGAAAAGAAATTCGCACATAAATGGCATTTACTTCGACACCAAAAAACAGTCCATGAAGGTTGTAAAGATTATGCATGCCCCGAGTGCGAGAAGAAATTTACAAGAAAATCGAATTTGCTCTCGCACCAAAAGACAGTACACGACGGTCGAAAAGACTTCGAACTAATCGAAAAATATGAGCCTCGTGAGTACTAACAGTAGATTTCAACATCAACTCTCCAAATTTTCTGGATCATATTGAAAAAAGTTTTATTAAGCTAATTATATTTTGTATTTTTCAGAAGATTAAACAGTATAATAACCAGGTTTATTATAATAATAGAATTTTATGATGATGGGTTGCTTTGCTATCAACTTTTTAAAACTTTTTCAAGTGATTTTTTCTTATAAATTAAAATTAATAACAGATGATAATCCAGTCTTTATGTACAATTAATTATTTGCTTATATGATTATGTTGAAGTCATTGCAGTTATAGTTCTTCAGATAATAGAGTACATTTGGTCAGGGAAATAATGAAAAGGACTAATTGTTTTCTTTACAGTTGTAAATGTATGAGCCAAATCACGACAACCGTGATGATGAAAAAAATGATGTTGAAACAAATTATGTACTTTTGAAAAGTACATTGAAAAATGAAAATCCTGAAATTTTCATCCTTCTTGGTCCATCTCTCTCATGTTTCAACAATTTTTTCATGTTCACCCCAGAAAATCAGACTAAAATTAGAAAAATCAAATTCCTGGAGGGCTGAAAATTTCAGGATTTTCATTTTTCAAAGTAATTTTCAACAGTACATACTTTGTTTCAGTTTCATTTTTTTGGTTATTCACGATTGGTTACATAGATATTTATAAAGACGTTTTTCTAAAATTTTAATGAAAATTATACCAACATGATTGAGTCTCACTCAATATCATCCATCATTACACATTTGGTCAATATCCTGGTTTGTGCTGGTATTTTTCGGCTCGATCAGCCGACAATTTTTTTTCATACCAGCGGCCCGAAAGTGACTACTTCCCTGCCGCTGCGCAAAGCGGGAAGAGCGATTTTCGGGCCACTGTGTATGAAAAATAGTATACAGGCCTATGCCGCGAAAAAAGAAAGCCCCAGAGCACGTGTTTATCGGCCTCGGCTTCGCCTCGGCCACTAATTACACGTACTCTGGGACTTTTCTGTTTTTCGCGGCCTAGGGCAGTAACATACTATTTTCACCTCTTCTTCAGAACTGTGAGGATGCGCGACCGATGCGTGAATTGATCAAGCAAACGTTATTCAACGATTTTGGTAGATTTGTGGATTGACTTGTGATTACTTCTGCCAAAAGAGATGTAGTAATTTTTTTATCCAATCCAAAGCTTATTTTAAGCCATCGATTTTTATTTTTCGAGGTTTCAAAAATCCACTGCCTTTAAACTGACCGGAAAATAATCATTTTCTTGGGGTGGCGTTTTCCTAATTCACCACTGAAAAAAAACCAATCAGGATTGAATATTTGAAATTATTGCACGAAAATCTCTCGTTATTTATGAAATTAATGTTTCATACAACCACAAAATCGATGTGTATCGTTAGTAGCTTTTTTTCTCGTATTTACGTCACCTACAGCAGAATTAATCATATGCACATGAATTTATTACGAGAAACGAGTCCGATGCGCTCATAATACTTGGAGTCAGCTCTGCCTCCGGCTTTGTTGTGTTCATCCATTCGCATTAGAACGAACTGCGAATGAGATTTGATACTCAAATATCTTTGTGAAATTTATATTGATAATTCATATTTAATTTATCAATACATTGTTGTATGTATTGTAATGAGCCGTGTCGCCGCTAGGTGGCACGGAGTAAAAGTACGGTTCACGCAAGTAAGATTGTTAAGTCTGGGCGTCATATAGACCCGAGAAAGACTTGTATCGTCGGAAGCCTCGAGAGAGGCGAAAGAGAGGTGGCTTAATAAACAGAGTTCTTTGAAAAGGGAATCTCATCTAATTATTTCACCTCCCTCCCATTCACCATCCCCTCCTGGCCGAGACCCAGGAGTTTCTGTAGCAGCGCAAGACGGGCGGACGACTTAGCAGCGATCCAGCGAGCAACGAGCAAGGAGATCGAGAGTCGACCCGGTGCCTCACCTACAGCAACATGTTTGATTTATTTGTAAAAAAACTTGATTTATATCATCGATTCATAAATCAAAGATAAATATTATAAATAAATAAAATAACTGAAAATATATCATTATAATTGATGCGTTGGTTTTATTGCAGAATACGAAATATTACCAAGTCATTTTATTTTAATACCGATGGAAAAGTGCGCATGAAAAATTGTAAAAGAAGGATATCTGGGCACGCGTAATAATTTTTCTTCGCTCAGGCCTGTTTAAGATTTTTAATATCTAATGGCATGGACATTGCATTTACAGCTTTGTACAGCGCCGAGTATTTTTCCTCCTTGTCCTCCTAGTATAATTGTTTTCCAATTATTTATCGCAGCCGTTATGATTGCATTTTCTTCTGCTGGTGTAAAATTTTCCTTAACTTTTTTCTTGTTCTTCTGTAAAATTTCGAACGTAATTGCAAATGACGGATTTTACAGAATTATTACCAAGTTACTCACGCCTGACTTTGTGCACGCCTTCTTTCCTGGTGTCTTCTTGGTGTCTTTCTCTCGAGGTCGTTTCTTTGATGGTGCTTTCGGTGGCGCTTCTGGTGAATGGTGTTGATTTACATGGATCTGAAAGCAATTTTGATTATTATAAGTTAACGGCAATGAAATACAAAAGAACATCTTACTTGTATCTGTTTATCCAGGGTGACTTGCTTCCGATAAGCCAACTTTCGGGCTTCATCGTCTTGTTGCTGTTTGGCCAATGAAGCAGCCCTTGCCTTTTCTTGCAACTTTGCTTCTTCTTCCTCCTTTCTTCTCTTCTCCTCTTCTTCGGCTATTTCTTCCTCTCTGATAGCTTGAATGCTCGATTCGATTTTATTTTTTTCGGCTTGAAGCAATTGTAAAGCCTCAGCCACCTTTTTTTCGAGGTCCTTTGCCATCTCTTGCTGTTTGGTGACTTGCGCCAACCGCATGCGGAGGGTCTCTTTCACCCCTTTTCGCGTGATGAAACTGTGTTTCGACAAAAATTATTTCGTAGTATTGTTTTTTTTTCTTTTTGTTTCATCAAGTTTTTATATGAATCTAAAACTTACGGATTTATCCTGTTGGAGAATTTGACATTCAAATCACCCGTGTCCTTGCAAGTTGTCACGCAGACGTACGAGCGGATCGCCTCAACCTCTGCCATGGATAGTGGGTCGGTCTGGGTGCCTGTTGTCGATACGACTGGCTACTGTTGTTGAGGTTGTTGTTGTTGTACCTGAATCTACAACAGAAATAAGATTTTAATTATTCTTCCTCATGAGTATCGTACTTGATCGTGAAATTTGCTTCATATGTATATAAAATAGGCTCACCGTTGGTTGTTGTTGAAACTGTTTCAAGTTTGCCAAACTCTTTACTTGCTTCGTTATTGGCAAACCAGGTTCCAATTTTTTTGGATCCTTCATTACTTTTAGCCAATGCGTGTTATTAGCGGAAAAGTCAATTAAACAAGCCGGCCAATAAACCACGTGTTCTCTGATGAAAGGGGCAACCTGCAGGTCGTCTCCCAGAAAAATGGAGCAGAGTGTCTTGATGACCATATGTTTCGAATTTTCGATACTCTCCCTTATCTGAAAAAATACAAAAAAATGGAATATGAAACGAACAACGTTAAGAGCGATAAATCTGTCATTTTTCAAGCGGATTTATAAAATAATTACGTGGGAAAACGAACCTGGAACTTGGTAACCGGTCCAGTCACTGGTATTTTTTCGTCGCGGAAGTAAGTCTCTGGGTTTATATCCAGGAGCCTGCGGTGTTTATCGCTCAATCTGTACAAATGCAGTGCTGCCAATCTCCTCATGAACTCGTGTACCCGGTATCGAGGGTCGCATTTGGGCATCAAATCATTTTTGATGTTGCCAGTACAAGGCGGGTCGGCATATTTCCATCTATTTAATAAAAATGCAAAATAAGATTCGATCAAATGGGGATTTAATGATGTTAGTAGTCGAAAGAAAAAAATATTATTACTTGTTGTTTTCTTCATCGTATTCGAGTCTTTGCAGCGAATAGTATAGGAAATGGAGCATCTCGGGACCGGTACTGTGGATATATTTAAAGTACGACTCATGCTCCTCGAAAAAATGGGGCGGGAACGATGTGGTTATCCTGTACTTTCGCAGCATGTCGTTGGATTGGTCCCGCATAAGGAGGTAGTTGTTAACGTACTTGACGTCGTAGCGATGTGGCGACCCTTCAATAAAACATGCCGAGAGCATCTCGCACGCGTTAGCCACGGGAAAATATTGCCGAGGCACCCTCAGCACATCTTGAAAATTTAAATCGCTCAATATCTTCACCGCTGGCCGCAAATTGACATCAACGTGGCGTTGCCAGTCACGAATGAGGAGGAACGATCGCTCGCTTGCCAAGGCATTAAGAATGCACCACAGTCGCCGGCCGTAAGCTTTTAGGTCTGACCTTCGCTTGAACTTTCGCTCGCTGTAATCGGTGCTGGACCATCGATCTACCACTTTGAATTCCGGAGATAGGTCTTCAACGTCGTCAACGATCTCTACCACCTCTATCCTCGCATCCATGGACTCGCTACTTTTACGCAACCATGCGTTTAATTCTAATAAATGCCGCATGCTTATCGTCCTGTTGTCAGGTTTTGCATCGAACGCAAACTTGTTCGAGAGAAAATAGGCAGTCAATGAGCGATGACGACTATGCTCCGTGAATGCTGTAAATGCGATAAAGAAGGTGTATAAGTGTTGAAGAGAGCCGTCCGAGACCGATTGTGCAAATTCCTTACCTGCATCGATGTTTGCGTACGCACGCGGAAACATCTTCGGATAACGGCACCCGTGGAAGAACCCAGCTTGTGAGAGAAAATAATTTCTCTTCTGCACAAACTGGGTACCCAAAACCTTCCGAACTTGTGGATAGCGGAAGACTATGTGGCTTCCCTTAGGGGCCTGGACCGTGCATCCGTAATGGATTTGAAGAAATACTAAAGATTTCGGATTGGGTACAAATAGAGTACGCAAATATTCTATTGCAACCTCCGTTTTGCCCTTGCAGCCATGGTGTGATTTGTAGAATAGGATCTCGTATAATTTGTCGTTGTTATCGACTAAAAATTTTTCCTTCAGATTTTTCAATATTCGATTGAAACTTGCGAAATCTTCGGAGTATACCTGAAAAAACATCAATACCCAATTGAATGATAGGTAGCGGAATAAACTTTGTAAGTAACCCAAGTAACTAAATTTTAAGTTTTTTTCCTTACCGTCAACGAAGAATCCTTGTCCCTCTTATAGGTCGTGGTGTTAGGGTTCATTTTTCTGGCAGCTTCGTGGCACAGGTTTTTAAACGGTACAGCCAAGGGCAGTTGTCGATAATCCTTGGCCATACCGCAAATGGCATATATGGTGTCGGTACCGTAATCGAAGAGGTCGAACTCGACCCAATTGCGAACATGATCGAAGCGTCTAACCAAGTATAAATAAAATTTGTTGTAGTGTAAGTATTGAAAGATTTTTGTTGAATTTTTTTTTTTTTTTTCATAATTACTTGTCAAGTTCGGTCGTCAATTTTTTATTTTGCACCGGTTTATATTTTCTGGTGTTAGTTAAGGATAAGTTCATGCCCGTCGCCAAATCCATGAGATCGCGTGCAACGACTAGCATCGAATCTATATCGATTTGGCCGTGCAGCAAATCTTGCGGGCATATCTCTGTATTGATGCTGGAGGACATGTTGCAGAAAGTGGAAAAATAATAAATGATAATATTCAGCTAATTAAAAAGTTAATAATGCAACCTACCCTTCGTGATGCAGGGAATCATCAGCCGATGAGTTGCCATTATCATCGTCCGATGACGGAAGAACAGCACGGTTATTTTGTCTAATTCTGGGGGCGTAAAAAAATTATTAGTTCATGTCAATCTAGTCACACGTATACTCTTTACCTCGGGGGCAAATCATCCTCCGGTTCGTACATTATTTCGAAATCGGACCTGCGCTGCTTCGGTACAACGACCTTCTCCTGCTGCTTACAGGCCGATGGTCGCTTCCCGTGCGTCGCGGTTGGTCCGTCGATCGGGCGAATCGTGGAGGGAAGAGAACGTCTGGGAATCGGCTCCAACTCCTTCGTGGTAGGAGTTGAAGGCGATTCCTGTTCGAGGTCGATAATTTCGACGTCTACGGGGTTCTTTGACCTAATTTTTGCCAGCATAGACGCCACTTGCTTTGATTGTGCCCGTGGTGGTGGTGCTGTTGAGCTGCGAGCGATGCTAAATAAAACGAGAACAGACTATTGTGAAATATTGAAAATTTTCATCGATCGTAATCAGAGAACATCCTTACAGGTTGAGGTCGACTCGTCCTTTCACTTGGTCGTACGCTGGAGATTGCTCGAGGATGTCTGCAAACTCGTCCCTATAGCTGTTCAGCGAAAGGCGATTTAATTCACGCAGAGATTTACGTAACTCGTCGTAGGCCCTTTTCGCCCAACTCTCAGCGGTCATGCGGTTTTCCGGTGGTTGCTTCTGCAGCAAGCCGAGTATGCTGGCGATGTTGAGAATCACCCATATCCCGCAGTTATCGCTATCCTCTTCCGGCTGCTGCATTTTGCAAGCATCGAAAAGTGTGTAGCCTTTCAATTGCAATGACCTCTTCAAGAATTGCGAAAGTGGCGTGGATTTGCTATCCTGGTGGTAAACGAAAAGTCTCGTCCCGCACTTTTCAAGTACTAGGAGGACTATTTTTCGTCCTTGTCAGGTCACTGGCGTGAAAAATATACCCATGAATTGCTTAGTGAAATCTCAAATTCTTTCCTAGTGAAATACCATAAACATTGGTATGAACGGGTTCATTTTTTAAATTAATCCTTAATTATGATAGGCCTTATGAAACAAAGTTCCAAAATTCGAGTGTCTTACCCGAAAAAGAAATGAGGTAAGCTGAAAATTTGAGTTCTCGATCGAGTCAATTTTTTTCGAGCACAATCCTTATGGAAAGATAATTTTGAATTTTGTCATCGTAGCAGAAAAAAATTATTAAACTAGCGATAATCTCGTTCAAATTCGTGACAAACTGAAGTTAGAACGGGTTCAAATTTTGAAAGTAATGTATAAACCGATAGATCGATAACTTAACTTAATTGTAAACAATATGATCATAAACGAATTGAAAGTCGTCCCTCGAAAAACTGATCATGTTTATAGTGAAAATAAATTAGTGTGAATATTGTCTTTCCGGTGAAACAAGCATAATACCAAACGATAAATTTTTCTCATTTAATTTTTGTGACACTAAATAGAAGGATTCAATGTTTAATTTCTGTACCAAAATGGATAAAAGTGAGAAGAAATTCGAGGAACTTGACTCCCAGGATGTTTCAAACAACAAAAATTACGTTTCTGACATTTTTCAGAAGTCTTTTACACTAGAATCGAGCATGATAACTCACAAAAATACAATTCATAATGAGCAAAAAGATTATACATGCGACGAGTGCAAAAAAAAATTTGAGTTCCGAAGCCATCTGAATAGACACCAAATATTAGAACACAAAAACCGTAATTTTGCATGCGACCAGTGCGAAAAGAAATTTGTGAAAAAATCCAGTTTATTCACGCACCAAAAATTGGTACACAAAGATCGCGAAGATTACTCATGCAACAAGTGCGAGAGGAAATTTGAAAATAAATCAACCTTACTCAAACACAACAAAATTTTCCACGAAGTGTTCAAAGATTACTTATGTGAAAAGTGCGCCAAGAGATTTGGAAATAAACGGAGTTTACTCATACATGTAAAGACAGCCCACGAGGGTCACAAAGATTTTGCATGCGACAAGTGCGAGGAGAAATTTAGAAATAAATCGCATTTGCTCTTCCATCTAAAAATAGTGCATAAAGTCTTCCAAGATTACTTGAGTGACAATTGCAGCGAAAAATTTGAAAATAAATCAACCTTACTCAAGCACAACAAAATTTTCCACGAAGTTTTCAAAGATTACTTATGTGACAAGTGCGCCAAGAGATTTGCAAGTAAGCAGAATCTGCTCGTACACCAAAAGACAGCACACGAGGGCCGCAAAGATTACGAATGTGACAAGTGTAAGAAGAAATTTGGACAAAAATCGCATTTACTCAGGCATCAAAAGACAATACACGAGGGCTGCAAAGATTATGAATGTGACAGGTGCGAAAAGAAGTTTTGGCATCCATCTAATTTGTTTCAACACCGAAAGATAGTCCATGATGGTCAAAGAGATTACGCATGTGATAAATGCGAGAAGAAATTTGGACATAAATCACATTTGCTTAAACATCAAGAAGCAGTTCACCTAAATCGTAAAGATTACGCATGCGACAGATGCGAGAAAAAATTTTCACAAAAAGTTCATTTGCTTGTGCACCAAAGGACAGTCCATGAAGCTCGCAAAGATTACCCATGCGACAAATGCGAGAAGAAATTTGGGCGGCAAACTACTTTGCTCGTCCACCAAAAGATGGTACATGAGGGTCGGAGAGATTTCGAATGCGACAAGTGCGACAAGGTATTTGCAAAAAAATCGAATTTGCTCATACACCAAAAAATGGTTCACGAAGGGCGTAAAGATTACGTGTGTGACAAATGCGGAAAGAAGTTTGGATTCAAAGGGTATTTGCTTTTGCACCAAAAGACAGTGCATGAAGGTCGCAAAGATTTCACATGCGATAATTGTGAGAAGAAATTTGGGTTTCAGTGCAATTTGATAAAACACCAAAAATTAGTCCACGAAGGTCGGAGAGATTTCGTATGTGATACATGTAAGAAGAAATTTGGAAATGCATATAATTTACGCCACCACCAAAAAACAGTACACGATGGTCGCAAAGACTACGCATGCGATAAGTGTGAGAAGAATTTCGGACTCAAACATTATTTGCTTTTGCACCAGAAGACAGTCCACGAAGGCCGCAAAGATTTCGCATGCGATAAGTGTGAGAAGAAATTTGTGAGTAAAAAAGATTTGCTCAAGCACCAAAGGGCAGTCCACGATGGCAAGAAAGATTTCGCATGTAACCAATGCGAGAAGAAATTCGGGGTTCAGAGCAATTTGAAAAGACACCAGAAAGCAGTCCATGACACTAATTGTCAAAATTATAGAAAATTATGAGCTTTCTTAATAAATGAGTATACTAATAGTAAATTCCAGAATATATTGACTCTTGAAATATTTTAGATCAAGTTCAGAAAAGTTTTATTAGACTAATCTTTCAAAGACTTTTTCTCACAATAGAAAATTCACGTGAGATGATAATCCAGTCTTTATGTGTTATTAATTGTTTATACGAGTGTCTCGAACTCATTTTAGTCATAGTTCCATTGAGAATAGAGTGTATTCTCTCAGTGAAATAATGAAAAGCGCCGATATTTTTCTAATTGACAATTGTAAATATATAAATTGATACTTATATAGATGTTTTTTTTAATTTTCAATAAAAATGTTGCCTTTATGATTGTGTTTTAGCTGAACCTTAATTACCCCTCAGCAAGAACTACCCCTCTGTAAAATTAAAATTTTGGATATAGTCCTCTCGGTCAAAAAACTCGCTTTTCTTTTGTAGCGTTTTTCTAATAATTCACCGATAAGATATTGACATTGGAATCAATTGAGTATAGTGACAATGATTATTCTGAAATTGTATCCCGTAAAAACATTCGCAATTTTCAAATACTTGTATCTTATCAATTGTAAGACGCGACTGTGAGAATACAATAGTTTCAACTGGATTCTCTACTGCACGCCTGACACTCGCAAACGTATAAACAGGAAGGCTCGCTCGGTACTACAAAAGGAGGCAATATTTTCTTACTACTATAATATTGGTGTTTGATCAACTTTTATGTTTATTTAATTTCCATTAAGATTATATTTTATTTACAACTTATTTACAATCATTAAATACTTATATTTACATATCACATTGTAACCGAAAAAATCGCATCGCGCGATCCTCAATCACATCGCGCGAGTCGTCGCGCGGGCCAATTCTCGGCGCAACTTGTGCAGCAGATTTTTCGCTATATGGCCCTTTATCATCTCTCTCGTCTGCGGGAAGCGCCTCTCGAAGTCGTCGTCGAGTATCGCCCTTAGGGCCTCGTACACCTCGGGCTCGTGCTCCGTCGCCGGATCCCTGCGACAGAAGTCGTGCAGCGTCAGGCTCGGCCCGAGCCGCAACGAGTCCGCCCGCGACACCTCGTTCTCCACGTCCACTCTCATGGCGGACAGAACCTCGATGCTACCAGGCAGCGTGTGCTCCATGTAGGCGAACAATCGGTCCGTCTCTCGGCTCTGGTGGAATCGAGCCAGCAGCATGGTGGTGTAGGCGCGCTCCACCGGAAGTTTCAGGGCGGCCCAGGCGATCTCGTCGAGCTCGCGAGGCAGCTGCTCGTCCTCCAGCGCCAACCACAGGTCGTCGAAGTAGTCGCGGATTCTGTCCTCGGGAGCTGCGAAAGAGAACGTTTTCATTGTTGTCTCGTGCAAAATCAACGATTTTTGGGTGGAATAAGACTGCTAGTAATCAGACAATACGAGTTAAAACTTATTTTAAATAAAATGTTTTTAATCAATCGATGCAAGTTAAACAGATTTAAAGGTCTTGAAAAAACCTACAAATTGATGGACTCAGAATATTTCTACGAGTCTTATTACTAAACCGATAGCAGAAATAGCAAAGACCAGAAAAACTTTTTTTTCGACTTGTTAATTGTTAACGACAATAAGTGAATAAATGAATAATTCTAATACTTATTTATATGGTTAGAAAGGGCTTGAAAAGACCTTTCAAATGGTAGTTTCAAAATCTCAATACGACTTTTATTGACTGAGTTATGACGTTTTGAAGTTTACTCATTTTTTTTCTTAGATATGGCAAAAGTGATAGAATATATCTAATACCTCGTTAACACAAATTCTAAAATCAGTACATTGAAATTACAATACGAAGCATTAACTGGAAAATTATTGTCTGAAAACTTTTTTGGAAAATTCACATTTTGGAAACATTTTGACGTTTCAAGTGATCGAGCATACACACAGAATCGAAAGTTTATCTCTTTACCTATTCAATGTTACATCTTTAAGGGGTAACACACCACTCTAGGATTTTCAAAAAATCGATTTTTTTACTTTTGCATAAAAAGCTCTCTTTTAAGTATGTCAAATTGTTTTTGTAGGGTAAACCTAATTTTAAGAGGCTTTATTTTTAACTTTTCTACTGCGCGTTTCACACGAAGATCTAATTGGGTACGAAAAACTCTAAACGCAACTCGAGCTTCGAAATTTCATTCGAATATCGTCATCGATCCTTAATACGCTCACTCACCCCACTTGATGAGCGCGTTGAAGCCCTCCACGCTCTTGATCCACGCCGGGCGCTCCAAGAAGTCCAGCATCTTGGCGATTCTCGGCGCGCGCAGCTCCTCGAACGCCGCCGCGCTCATGTAGTACGTCCGCACGATCGTGTCGACGTTGACCACGTCCGTCCCGCCCACGGGAAAGTATCGCCGATAGTCCAGCAGCTCCGTAGCCTCGGCGCCGTTCGCCACCAGGACCCTCGCCACGGCGTAGTTC